TAAGGTAGTAGGTATACTATAGTACTTTACTATAGAACTCCTACTAGTAGGTAAGTTATAGGTAATTAAAGTAATTTCTATATACTCTTATCTCTTACTAATTACCTATTAACCTAAAGAGTAATATATAGTTTTACTTTTATAGCCTAAGGTAAGGTTATTTTACTAAAGAAGGTTATATTTAAAATCTTTAAATAGCTAGTTAAGCTATTCTTAAAAGATAATATTATTAATAACTACTAGTCTATTAAGTCTATTAGTATTTAAGATAATATAGTTAGTTTAGCTTTTATATTTAATTAAAATATATAGAATAGTTTTAAGAATTATTCTTAAAATATAATAAAAGGTCTTTTACTATTTATAACTACTTATAATTTATAAATAACTAAGGTTAGGTTTATTTCTAAACTATAATTTATAAGGAATTATTTAGTTTATTATTCTTTATTATAAAGGTATACTATTAAAAAGTAATATAGGCCTATACTATAACTAGCTAGAATTTAATTAGTACTTTTAACTAATATATAATAGGAAAAAGCTTATCTTATAGTATCCTATTCCTAACCTTAATAATACTATTCTATTAATACTAATTAATAGTAAAATACTATAAATATATACCTAAAGAAATATAAGAGTTCTTAAACTAGGTTATAATATTCTCCCCCCTTTAATCTAGCTAGATAAAGTAGTATTTATATTTTAAATATTCTTATATCTTTAGGAAATTTAGTATTATATTAGGTAGTTAAGATTTCTTTTTAATAAAGAATAGCTAGTATATTCTAGTATAATTATTAATAATAATAACTTAATACTAATCCTTCTTTTAGAAGATAGGTAGGGTACTAATAATATTAGTATAAAGGCTTTTAAGAAAATATATTTTTTTCTAAAATAAATAAATATAAAGGCTTTCTTTTTATCTCCCTATAAAATAGCTAATATAATATTTATACTAGCTAATAGGCTTTATACTAGTAAAGATAGAAATAAGTTTAATAATATTCTATTCTTCTAAATATCTAAGTTAATTATACTATAGCTTATACTTTAAGTTATTTATTATATAAGCTAATATATTAATATTTAAAGTAATATAATTAATTATATAAACTTTAATAGTCTATTAAGTAATAAGAATAACCCTTTAATCCTTTATTATAACTACTCTTTCTTTATTAAAGACTATTATAGTATTCTTTATTACTAAGTAGCTAATAAAGAGTAGGCTTATTAAGGTACCTTCCTATAGAATACTATTATATAGTTTTAAAGTAGTCTTAAAGCTTTTTATAGTAATAATAGCTATTTTATAAGTAGTAGGTTTTAAAATAGTATTAGTAAGACCTTAAATATTAAAGCCTAAGTAAAGGGATAGGTCCTTTATAAGTTCCTTATAGCCTAAGATATAGTTAAATATATTAAAGTTAAATAGTATTAGTTTTTAATATAATAATATAAAAAGACTAAAATCTTATTTAGGTTTAATACCTATAAAAGTACTATCTACCTTAAGTTAATTAAAGTATTATAAGCTTTAAGAAATAATAAAAGTAAGTTAAACTAGCTTAAAGTCTATAAAAAGACTTATATACTATTTAAAGCTAACCTTTTTATATTTATACTTATTATTATATTTCTTAGTTAGGTATTAATACTTTTTATTTTATTAAAATAAAGAGGGTAAGTTTATTAAATAGAGTTTAAAGTATAGCTTTTAATATTACTTATTAAAGTAACCTAAAAGCTTATAAAAAGAATAGAAATACCTAATAGTATTAGGTTTTATTATACTATAAGGGGAATACCCTCTAATAGTTATTATAGTAACTAAAGTAGCTTATTATTTAGACTTTTTATTATTTTATTATTTAAGCTTAATAAGGTTAACTATAACTATAACTACCTATATAAGTATAGTTATAAAAGCTATAATAATATTACTAGTTTACTTTAAAATAAGATAAAAGGCTATTTTAGTAATATAGAAGTTAAAATCTTTATTAAGACTATTAATAAAAAGATATACTATTAAAGCCTTAAGGACTTTAAAGTCTTTATTAAGAGATTATTACTTAGCCTAAGTATTAATAAATACTATAGTAAGTTTCTTAATAGATCTATATTAAGTAAAGGTTAATATTAAAAGATAGTTAGCTATAGTTTAAAAGATAGTAATACCTTTTAATTTAAAATACTTCTTAAAGGCTATAATTATATTTAATATTATAATTTTATTCTTAATAAGGCTATAAATATATTCTTTAAAGCTTATATTAATAAGAATAATAATATAGACTTAATTCTATATTTATTTTTAAATAAAATCCTTTATAGTCTTACTACTATAAGCCTTAGTTAAGATAAAGCTATTTCTTTAGCCTTTTAATAGTAATCTACTAAAATTATTAAGTCTTAGTATATTAATTATCTTTAGCTTCTATTTAACTTAGCTACTTTTAGATTTAAGCTTTAAGATATTTAATACCTCTTTTAGTATTAAGGATATAATACTAAATAATAAAGTAAGTAATAAAGCTATAAGAAAATCTTAGTTTATATATAAGAGTTAAGTTACTAATAATATTACCTACTAAGGGAGTAGAACTTTAAGATAATAAAGAAGATAATAAGCTAAGTATATAGTCTTTCTTTTTAAACTAAATACTTTATATTTATTTAAAAGTAAGAAGTATTTATATAAATAATAAAGAATTCTTCTTACTAAATAAGTAGTTACTATATACCTTTTATAGTAATTAAGACTATAGATTATAGTAAGTAATTTAATAAGTATATTTAAGACTATAGATTATAATAAGTAATTTAATAAATATATCTATTTAAAGATTATAACTATACTAAGTAAATTTATATTATAATATATATAAAATAAGTATATAAAGTCTATATATAAATTACTAAATAAGGTATAGTAATAGAATTTCTTTTTCTTTATATAGAATTTTTATAGTAAATAGACTTATTAAATATACTCTAAATTAGCTAGAGTTTAAGGTCTTTCCTCTTCCTATATATAAAGAGTTATAAATTTCTTAAGTTTTATAGTAAATATTAGCTTATATAGATAGTAAATAAATTTAATAAGAAATTAATACTTTCCTTTATTTTATTAATAGCTTTTATAATATAAGTACTACTAGGCTTATAACTTATTAAGACTAATAGGGTATATATAGGGTAAGAGGTAAAGTTATTATATTATATAACTTCTATCTAGTTATATAGTATAGGTAAGTGCTAGATATACTAGGTAATAGGAGATTGTTCTTCTAGCTTTAGAGCTGCCTATTATTACTTATATAAATAAAGTATAAAGTATTAGGGATAAAAGAAAATAGTAGGTAGGGATAGAAGCTAGAGACTCTTAAAGGAAAAGGAAGGTAAAGGTATTATAAAAGCTAGAAGGCTATAGTAATAGTTAAGCTTAACTAGCCTAGAGACTTATAGGGTTAAATATAGCTCCTTTTAATATAAATAAAAATAAAGAAGAAAAGGAGAAACTAAAAGGCTAAGAGGTTAAGAAGATAATAGGCTTAACTAGTCTAGAGATATATAGGATTAGATATAGCCCCTTTAATATAAATAAAAACCTAGGGGGAGGGGAGGTAGTTAATAGGCTTAGCTAGCTAAAGTAATATAGGCTAGATATAGGCTAAGATATAAATAAAAACCTAATATATAGTATTAAGAGGGGTTTTACTAGACCCTTATATACTTTAGAATAAGACTATAAAGAATCTTATAAATATAGATAAGGTTTTCCCCTAGGTACTCTAGTTTTTCCTTACCTTATAATTAGTAAAGGTATTAGATAGGTTATTTAGCCTAATTAGTATATAAGAATTATTATTATATATATATTATAATATATAACCTTATAAAAAGTACTAATAATAAAGTATTAAAAGTATAAGAGAATAATAAAGAGGAATAGAAGCTAAGAACTCTTAAAGAAGAAGAAAAATAAAGATATTAAGAACTTTAAAAGGCTATTGTTAAGGGCTAGGCTATGGAGCCCGCCCTGGTCCTTCCAGAGTGGCCAGCGCAGAGCCCCCTAAAGGGGGGCCCCTTATAGGTACAACCAGACAACAATCGTGCTAGTATTGTTGTTACGAATCCTTTTGCCTTCCGTGGTCAAGTGGGCAAGAGGGTTGTGGCTGTAAGGCCACTAACGGCTGCGGGGCTGGTTGCCCCCAAAGCCCCTCTAGGGCCAGTCCGTTACAGCTATAGTAGTAATTAAGCTTAACTAGCCTAAAGGTATATAAGGCTAAATATAGCTCTCCTTAATATAAATAAAAATAAAAAAGGAGGGAAAGGAATTAAAAAGAAGTTAAACTTAATTAGTTTAAAAATATATAAGATTAAATATAGCCTTTTTAATATAAATAAAAACTAGAAAAGAGAGAAAGTAATTAAAAAGCTTAGCTAACTAAAGAGGTATAGGCTAGATATAGGCTAGGATATAGATAAAAACCTAGTATATAGTATTAAGAAGGGTCTTATTAAACCTCTATATACTCTAGAATAAGACTATAAAGAATCCTATAAAATATAGATAAGGTTTTCCCCTAAGTACTTTAGTTTTTCCTTACCTTATAATTAGTAAAGGTACTAGATAGGTTATTTAGCCTAATTAGTATATAAAAATCATTATTATTATATTTTTAATATTTCTATTTATATTTACTATACTTATAAGTTAAAAGCTTTTTAAAGTTATAAACTAACTTAATATTAAGTTATTTTACTTATTAAACTTATTTTTAATATTTTAGCTTATAAATAAGTATAAAATAGATTAAGCTTAGTATTTATTAATAAAGATAGATACTAAAAGGATTATAAAGTCTAATTAGTATAAACTAATAATAATAAAATACTAGTTTTATTTAGTAGTAAAGTTAATATTCCTTATATATCTTAAGTACTTTCTACCTATATAGGGTATTTTCGAGTATTTTGGGCGGCTACCTAGCTGTGTGATGTTGAGTAGCACTCGATGCTGGGAGGGGAACATGGTGACGGCAGAAAGCAGTATCTAGCATTCGCCAACCATGTCGATAGCACAATATGGCTTGTGCAGGTGCACGGGATCTAGCTGATGGTGGCACGAGAGATAGACACATGCTCACCGTTAGTGACGCCACTTGTTGTCGTTGGCGCACGCGCGCGGCACGAAGAAGCACGAGAAGCCACAACACTGGCCAATGAATGTATAAAGCCCAAAAGCTACGGTTTCTGATAAGTCAGAGGCGCGTTAACTACACTGGCTCTAAGGTAGTTTTGTCTTCCGTCTTCCTCCCCTCTTGCGCCACTTTTCTCCGCGCCCAACATATTTATCCTAATTTAGTCTGTAGAAGCAGGGCTTTTTCCCCCTTGGGCTCACAACCGACCGTCACTGAGCAGAGAGATACTGGAGTTAGGGAGCAACAGCTACCATTGTCGGTGTGGCAATGTGATAGTCTATAAACTTTTCGCCCTGCATTTTGCACTGGCAGCCTGCCGGAACCCACCGCACGGGTACACCCGCCTCACTTCTGTGCAATAAGTGGAGGTCACCCGCTAACCTGAGTAGGCCGGCGCTTAACATGCAGGAGGTAGTAGCCTCAAAAAACGCGCCCCTCGCGGTTTCACCTAGCGCCCGTTGTCCAGAGTGGGGACCAAATCATTCAACGATAGGCTGATGTTGCCCGGTTCTTTCGAGCCGACGGGGTGTCAAGGCTGGGTGTGCGGGGTTGTCTGCGGCCAAAAATGTGGTTGAAACTCTTGACAACGCCTCTTTTTTATATCCACGGTGGACGGGTTCTGTAGCCGTCGCATGGGTAGGCGAATCTGCAAATCGGCGCGTTGCGGTGCGTTGCGTTTGCGGTATGGGTAGTGAAGAGCATCGCCGAGGTGAGACGACGCAGCCGCCAACGGGGTTGCTTCGAACTCATCTTCCAACAATGAATGCATCCCGATGGTGAATGTCGCAGTACTAAACGGCCAAAGCGAGGAAGTTGTTTTGTCGCATGCGTCGGTCCGTCCAGTGGCACATCACAGCTGAGCCTACAAACGTTGCCCACCGGAGCAGGCGCGTAGAGTCACTAGTGAACCCCTGTAAATAGCAATAGTGTACTTGGTGTAGGGTGGCCGGCCAGTTATGAGGCCACTGAGGGTCCAACTCACCTTCCATGGCTGCGCAGAGCAGTTCTTGTCGCTTGTAATCGAAGTCGTGCTGCCAGCTCACAAGTATAAAAAGGCCTCTTCAGCACTCGTAAATTTTGAATCTGTTCTTCCAACACAAGCCCCCTTCTCTACATTAAGTCTCTTCCTCTACAAACCCAACAATGTGCAGTTACATCATTCCCACCAAAATGTACCAGAAGTGCCGCCACACCCGTCCCGATGGAGCACCATACTACGACCTTTGCCTGGGAGTGCAGGAAGGCAAGAAGGAGAGATGCGATCCTCTCATCACTGACCCTTCCAAGTGCAAGATTGTGCCAGGCAAGTGCCCGTCGTGCTGATCGTGAGTTTACCCTACCTTTGTATCCCTCTTCATTGCGCTAATGACCATTTTCTTCCAAGGCGTGACGAAATTTGGGCCTACACAGAAGCAGGTCAGACTTTGAGAATGGGGTTGTGTACTTATTTGTCTAGCTACCAATGCTTCTCCTACTACATCATCGTGTCCTTCTCTACCCTTCACAGCGACTGCCCGTTCATAGTTACTGTCGGCGTCTGGAAAGCCAAACCCCTAAGCCTCCTACGTGAATTACAGCTGATCTGTTTTTATGTTTCCCATGTGTCACCTTTTGCGAGCCCGGCCAGGAAACCGTCGACGTAGCGGAGGTGTTCCCCAAAGCTCATCGCCATACGTCGTAACTCATTCTTAATGTCTTCTTGCGTTGCCTGGCCTTGCAGTACGTATGGCGACGGGGCGTCGGGGAGCCGAGGCAAGGCCAATCCGCTACCCATCCCCATGCGGTTGTCTAGCGGCGCAGCGTCCCAGCGTCGTTCCGTAGTAGATCCATGGTCGCTGTCGACGTGGCCATTCCGTGCCGGTGAAAGGGTCTCAGGATCTGTATCAGCAAATTCACTTAGCGAATACGGGCGACCAGCCTCGAATTGCGGACGTATTTTTTCGTGCTCGTCTTGCGGAAGCTGGTTGCGATGCCATACGCTGTCTGGGGAGCTTGCGAGACTAGGCGCAGTCCGAAAATACCCCGCTTGATGGGCAGTCTGGTCTTGAGACCTAGGCAGTATAACGTATACTGAGGCGTGCTTCTCTAGGTCAAAAGGACTGCGACCGGGAACATCTGAGTCTGCAATGGAGTGTGCAAAGGAATGCGATGTGGAGGGGCGTGTATCGCTCTCAAGTGATGGTTCTGCCAAGCTCAAATCCAAATCAATCAAACTTACGACGGATGCACGGAGGTCGAAGTCTGAGAGACTGCGGCTCTTCCTCACAATGCCCCTGAAGCCTGTCAATGGCGCGGAAGGCTCCATCGACTGATGGAAGGCTTCTTGGCCCATCGTCGCCGCGCTCGCGTCGCCATCAAATGGGGATTTGAAAGTGTCTATCGTTGCGGTTGCAGGAGCCGCCATCAAGGGAAATTTCCATTCCTGTGTTCGACGGTGAGGATCGGCGTCTGTCATGCCTGTGGAGTGTCCTGAATGAGACAAACCCCCTTCGTCTTCACGATCAGCAGCAAGGCTTGGTCCTCGTGGTCTGATTGTGTCCAAGTCCGTAAAACGGGAGAGCTCGCTTCCGTCCAAGGATGCATCAAGATCGATGAGCGATTCTCGAACGTCAGAAGCTGAGGCTGTTTTGTCACGAAGTGGGAGGTCATTGATGGGGGCTGGCTGGAATAGCTGAAACCGTCCATAATAGAGTCTTGAGTTGTCATCATAACTTGAAAGTGTGTCGGGGTCGAAAATCTTCTCAAGAGGCGCCTTCACAGTGGGTAGCTCCGGAGGAGGTTGCCGTCGATATTTTCTCTTTCCTTGCACCGCTAATTCGTCAGGTGGTTGGCTGTACTCGATATCAGATCCATAAACTTCGTACACTTCTTGAGCATCTCCGTTGTTGAAGACGTGTTGTTCAAATGCCGCCGTAGTACTGAAGTTCCAGTCTTCACCAGATGCTGCATTGCTGGCTGGTTGGTCGGCTAGCCCTTGAGCTCCGCCGGCAGAGAAGAGGGAGCGCCGGTCACCGCCCTGAGACTCCCATAGCTTGAACGCGCGGACGAGATGCGACAGGGAGGAAGTCGGGAAGACCTTTTCCGTTTGGGATATATATGGATGCGATTGAATCTGCTGAATGTTTGGCCGCTCGATTGTATTGCCTTGCAAGCAATACGCAATGATATCTTTTAGACCTGTGGAATATTGATCGCCATCTAAACGGGGGTTATGGTGCTTTAGATGGGTACCTAATCGTGCGAGATCCATACCAAAAGTAACATTTGGCGGTTGTCCACAAGCAATTTCATATGCCATGGCGCCAAAAGCCCAAATATCGACTTCCGTGCCATATGAAGCAGATTCATCAAAGAGCTCTGGTGCCATCCAATGTGGTGTGCCTATAACAGTGGTTCTTTTATCAAATTTCGTCGCAATAACGCCAGCAACACCGAAGTCACAGAGTTGAACAGCACCTTCTTCCGCGATGAGAACATTTGCGCCTTTGAGGTCACGATGAATAATACCCTGCGCATGGACCCAATTCAACGCTTCGGCAACCTCGCGCAGGATAGGAATAATCCACTTCTCATAAAGGCCACAAGGAGCGTTTGGTCTCATCAGGGTAGAAACACTGCCACCAGCACAATATTCCGTGATGACCCATATAGATTGCCCTATTGAAAGGGCTTCGATAACGTGGTTGACGTTTTTAGCATTGCTTTCACCTAGCAGCTTCAGTGCGTTGACTTCCTTCATTAAATCGCCGTAGGTGTCGGCCATCCTCGGGTTCGAGATGTCCCCTTGCTCGATGTCGATGATTTTAATGGCGACGTGTTTGCGACTGGCCAGCGATTTCGCCTTATAAACTCGGCCGTAGCTTCCTTTTCCGATGAGCTCGGAGAATTGATATGGAGGTATGTCTTTGTTTGATTTCCTGCAAGATTCGATGATGAAAGCTTGCATGCTCTTCGCTTCGTCGAGCGCTCTCTGTTTCGTGGCTGAGTAGTCATTTCGACGGAGTCGGTGCGATGCCATGGCGATGATTGGGTTGGAGCGAAGAAGGCCGTATCGTGAGGCATAAACGAAGGCTCGCGCTCTATATAGCCATGTCTTGTAGGCTCTCGAAACTCGGCGGACGAACGTCGACGTAGATATGTACTTTGCAGAAGCAGAAACGCGCCCGAGTTTCAAGGGTCGACACGGAAGCTCGCGGCTGACGGCGGCGCCGCCCCCCGATTAGTCAACAGTCCCCGCTGTAAGTTTTGTCCCACGCGCTATAAATTTAGCCTATCTCATGGGCTGCTTCTACCTTACAAAGGGCAGCAATTTGCGCCTATTGTGTATGGCAACATTTGCTACAAGTAGGCTACATCGTCCCTGGTAGCTGTTGTTTGCATTTAGGCTTGTCGCGTTGTCCTCTAGTACGTCTGCTACCCCGTCTGTTCGTTCGTTTGCTGGCTCGTCCCCTGGCCTTGCCTCGTCAAGTCCAATCTCCCGCTTCTTCTAGCCGCCGTAACGACCCCTGGCCACCGCACGCGCTAGGCCGCCTATTCTAAGAATAACAGGTGGTTACACATAACCTATTCCAACTCCGTAGAGTTAACCTAACCAAGTTAAGGTTTTACCGCACTTTTCCTAGATAAGGCTAAGACCAGTATATACCACTACCAGTAACCAGAATAACCAGAATAACCATAAAACTAGTAGTAACTACTAATCTAAACACCTAATAAATAACTAAGCGTATATATTATTAATCTAAATAGTAATTACTAACTTAATATAAGGTTACTATAAAAGAGTTAAGCTTAAGCCTACTCTAGGCTAGGCTTAGCCTAAGGCTACTATAAGTATATGTTACGGGCTGGGCTCTGGCCCAGCGCCTTCCATAGTGGCCGGCGCGGGGGAGAACCCTTATAGGTGCAACCAGACAACAATCGTGCCAGTATTGTTGTTACGAATCCTTTTGGCCTCGTGGCCAAGGGGGTTGTGGCTGTAAGGCCACTGACGGCCGCGGTGCTGGTTGCCACCGAAGCCCCTCTAGGGCCAGCCCGTCACAGTATATTCTTAGTATATTCTTAGTATACTTCTTATTATACTATAGAAAATAAATTAACTAGTCTTTCCTTTTTTTCTTACTTTATAAAAAAAGTTACTATTATTATAATATATATTTATAAATACCTTAAGGTTAGTCTTTAATAATTAACTCTTTTCTTTATTAATATCTTTCTTAGTTATTAAGGACTAACCCTAGGGTATTTATATATAGGTATTATAATAGTATTAACTCTTTTATAAAGTAAGAAAGGAGGAAAGGCTAGTCTATCTATCTATAATAATATATAAAAGGGGTATATTAAAGGTATACCTATAATAGCCTTAGCTAAGCCTAGTTTAGAGTAGGCTTAAGCCTAACTTCTTTATATTAGTTAATTAAAAAAAAGGCTATTAAAAAAAGTAATAATAATAAAATTATAAACTAAATAATAAGGATTAGGCTAATATATCCGTATAGTAATAATCTTTATTAATCTTAAGCTTATCGCCTATATATCCCTCTCCCGTCCTAGCTCGTGTTGCTGCTCCAACCTGCGTTGACGCTGGTGGCAGCTCCACCAAATAACAAACCCCAGATTCTATCACCAACGCCCTAGCAACCAGCCAGGACGGCCTTGCATTCCATTGCAGCTGCATCTGCCAACCTGATCACTGCCCTCCTTATTTACTGAACCCTCGTTCTGCATTGGCATAGAGCTGCACCTGGAATCCTTTCTCTGCATACTATTCGCATCATTTAGTCTTGCCGCCTCTTATCCGCTGCACGCTGCTATTTGTTTGACCGACCAAGGCCCATTTCGCGGCCCACGTCCTCGGCCAACGCCCTTGTTGACCTTTCTCGCCGGCCTCGTCCTGAATCCGCAGCCATGGCCAGCTTCATGTCCAATTTCTTCCAGTCCGGTCGCGACAAGGCGGCCCAGGAGATCGCCCGCCCCGTGACGCCCAGCAAAAACACAAACAACAACTTCCTCAACCCGCTCAACACCCCGCAGGGAAGCCCCAGCAAGAAGACACACCCGCCCGGCGCCCACGACTTGCCCACGGCCTTTGACAGTCCCATGTCCCTCAATACGGGCGAGGTAGACACGCCTGTCCGTCTTTCGCGTCCTCAGACCGTCGTCACCCCGCTCTCCCCAGCTAGGACCAACGCCCAACCCTTTGACGAAAGTAGCCTTGTCGCCGATGATAGTGTCTTGCACAAGGGACCGACGCCAGGCAGTCCTCTCCGGAAGCAGGGTCAGGAGAATACCCCTCCGGTTCAACACATGACACATGCGGCGCTCTCGCGCCACCAGGCGTATGAGGGCAAGGAGCGCCCTCTTACACCGGTTACCAAAAAGTTCAACACATCGCGCGGCTTGACTGTCGAGGAACGTGAGATTCTGCAAAGTCCCAGTGTCCGCCGACTTGTTAATGTCACTCAATTATGTATGTTGCGCACCTTTTGCCTACTCGCAGCGCTTGCTAACAGGGCGCGCAGATTTTCTCGACTACTATTTTGATCTTCTCACTTATGTCGGTTCACGGCAGAATCGTCTCGCCGCTTTCAACACCGAGTTCCCTGCACCCCCGGCGACCGATGATGCTGTTTTCAACCAGATGTGGAGCAAATATGCCGGCCGCGAGCGTGCCAACCTTCGCAAACGCAGGGTCCGTCTTCGCCAGGGCGACTTTCAGATCCTAACCCAGGTCGGCCAGGGTGGCTACGGCCAGGTATTCCTAGCCCAGAAAAAAGACACGCGCGAAGTGTGCGCGCTCAAAGTCATGAGCAAGAAGCTGCTGTTTAAGCTCGACGAGGTCCGTCACGTCCTCACCGAGCGTGATATTCTTACTACAGCATCAAGCGAATGGCTTGTGCGACTGCTCTACTCTTTCCAAGACGACAAGAGTATCTATCTTGCCATGGAATACGTCCCGGGCGGCGACTTCCGCACTCTACTTAACAATACGGGTGTTTTGTCCAACCGCCATGCCCGATTTTATATTGCCGAAATGTTCTGCTCGATTGACGCCCTTCACCAACTCGGCTACATCCACAGAGATCTGAAGCCGGAAAACTTTTTGATCGATTCTATTGGCCACGTGAAGCTGACCGACTTTGGCCTGGCCGCCGGTTTTCTGGCTCCCTCACGCATCGAGTCTATGCGTGTTAAACTGGAGGAGGCGTCCGAGACGTCGGTGCCCTTTGGAAAGCCTATTGAGCAGCGCACCGTTTCGGAGCGTCGCGAGAGCTACAGAAACATGCGCGACAACGACGTCAATTATGCCAAGTCGATTGTCGGCTCGCCCGATTACATGGCTCCCGAGGTCCTTAGAGGGGAAGAATATGACTCGACAGTGGACTACTGGAGTCTGGGATGCATGTTGTTTGAGGCTCTGACTGGTTTCCCGCCTTTTGCTGGCGCCACGCCCGAGGAAACGTGGCGCAACTTGAAGCACTGGAAGGACGTGTTGAAGCGTCCTGTCTGGGAGGATCCCACCTATTTCCTGAGCAACCGCACATGGAACTTCATCACCACGTACGTACACTAACCACTCATTCACTACCATCGCATTGACTAACACGTTGCAGCTGCATTAACTCGCGTGTGAGACGCTTCAACAATATTAAGGACATTTACAACCACCAGTACTTTGCCGAGGTGGACTGGGCAACGTTGCGACAGACACGTGCGCCGTTTGTGCCCGAGCTCGACTCGGAGACGGACGCTGGCTACTTTGACGATTTCGGTAACGAGGCCGACATGGCCAAGTACAAGGAGGTGCACGAGAAGCAGCAGGCGCTCGAGACCATGGCCGACCGCGATGACGATATGAGCAAGAGCCTCTTTGTCGGTTTCACGTTTCGCCATCGCAAAACTGCACATGGCGAGGACGGCGGCAGCAGCAGCCCGCGCAAGAGGATTCCCGTCGACGACGCCTTTGGCACGATGCTCTAGCGAGAGCGCATGGTGGTGCCGTGTCGCAATCCGCACTGTCGGTGCCAGCCGCTGGAATGGACATATCGCCGATGATGTCGCGCCTTTTTTTTTTGTTTTGTTTCTGTAGACTTGAGGAGCAAGGCTGGTTCCTGCTATTCGACGTCTTTCTGTTTTTTTTTTTCTCGTCATTGCGATGTCTGTCATCCTGTTGTTGGTATTACAATATTTTAGTCTCCATTTTCCGCGCGCTTCTTCTTCATTTTGTCTGGCGGCTTTTTTTTATAGCCTTGTTGCTACGTTTACGAGGGGGTGACAGTAGTTTGCTTGAGATGGGGCAATGATGGCATTTCGGGGGGGGTCCTGGCGAGCATTTAGGTATTTCGTTTCACGTGTTCTCGGAGCAGCATAGAGTGGAAGCAAAGGGAGGGCAGGGGCAAAAACGAAGATATGGGCATGTGCATAGGGATTACATGATGAACATGGGGTTGTTGTGAGCAAAACCACAAGTTTGTTAATATGAACAAGTTTTTCAGATCCAGATTCCATCGGCTACTTTGGTATTTATCAAGCCATGCACGCAGGTCATGTCGTTTGTTTCAACAGGTTGGAATTCCACTATACCGAATACCTAGATAGCGTGATGGCATGCCGTGTACTCCTTGAACGGTAAACAAAAATGGGCAATAGGAAAGCAACATCTCCAAGATCCAATCCATCCAGGACGCCAGGAAAGCCATCTTCATAATTCTAAAAAGAAAGACGCCAAATTCAAGACCAGCCGCCTGCTACCCTCCCTACCCACCAAAATACATCCCCATGCCGCTGTATAAGAAACAACATCAGCCCAAGGATCCAACTAAGAAATAAGAATTCATCTCATGCACTGCTCCTCATCTGCCCAAAGATGGGGGAAAAAAAGGAAAAAAAGACAAAAAAAAGGCCCCCAATTTCCGGTCCCAAGTCTATTTGCAAGGTATCATCAAACGAAAAAGAAACACAAGGTCAACAAACAAACAAATGGAGCTCCCAGAAACCAAAACCCAAAAAGTAGTCCAAGGAGATTAAGCGCCAGTAAATCAGTAAAACATTCCCTCGCCTTGTTAACTCGTCAATCCGTCCCATATTACAGTCGTCGCTTTTCGTAATAACGGTAGACGGGTGAATTAAAGAGAAGCAGACGAAAAGATTAAAACGGCGGGCGTGCCGGCGCCTTGTCGAAAGAAACAGCCGTCGATCGTGTAGAACTGGGCGGTTTGAGATTACAGTTTCAAGAAGATGAAATGAATATCCCAAACTCCATTCGTCATGCAGAAAAACAAAAGAGACACTCGCCATTGCGTCGTGCAAGTGCTCAGTGTATAAAAAGAAACACGCAAGAGTAGAAATTACAGACTCATCGTGAGCCACTCCCATTCCTGCGGGCCGACGGCGTTGGGGCTCATGCCATTGGATTGATGGCCCATGGGTCCTGGGGCGGCCATCAGAGGACGCTGCGGCATGCCATAACCTGAAGTCATCATGGTGGACGAGATGGATGGCATGCTGGGCGTCGTGCCGAGGGACCTGGTGCCGTCGTTGGTGCCTGGGAAGCCGCCGTCAATGTCCATGGCTGAGACGGTGCCGTCGCTCTTGCTGTGTCTGCGTTGTCGCTTCGATGAGGCGTTTGCAGAAGGGCGAGCCAGAGGCATGGGCGAGGTTGATGCGCCAGGTCCGGGCGATGACTTGGGGGGAGCGGCAGCGATAGGTACTACACCCTTGCCGCCGGCTGCCTGGGCTCCAAACTGGCCGCTACTGGTCGAGCTGGGGCTCTCTTCCTTATAGCTTGTGCCGGGGCGCTGTCCAGAGGCGATTGTCGGCGTTTGTTGACCAGAGGGCGCCGAGTTCGCAATGGAGAGGGACGAGTTCTTGCGAGAGGTAGCAGCAGACCCCAGGCCCTTCTTGCCACGACCGCCGGCATTGTTGCCGGAGCCACGGTTACGCTTCTTGATTACGTCCGTCTTGAGACTCAGAGGTCGCACGACGCCGTGGAGCTTGAGAAACAAGCCGCAAGCGTTGCAAAGCGGCTGGCCCTCGGGGTTTCGTCGCCATAGCGGAGTCGTTTGCGTGAAACAGTTGGTGCAAGTCGTGGGGTTGCCTCCATCAGTCTGGTTACCAGCGGCGGCTTGCAAGTTAGTAGTCGAGCCGGGCTTTGATGGCGGCGGGGACGAGGGCCGGCTAGGAGCCACGGAGGAGAAGCCGGACAGGCTCCCAGTGACGTCACCATGTGGCGATGTGGGCAGTGATTGCGCAATTTGTTCGAAGCCGTTGTGCTTTGAGGCCATGTGAGAAGGGGTAGAAGCGTTCCGAGGCAGCTTCGGCTGGCGTGAGCCGGAGGATTTGAACGATTGAGACCTGCCCAGTCCACCACGGTTGTCTTCGTTGTTGGACTCGACATAGTCGGTGGTGGTGCCTCCAATTACGACCTGCTTGCGGGGAGGGCCACCAGGATATCGCGCAGAGTGGGTGCTGAACTGGCCTGGTAGTGATGCGTCCCACCCTAGGGAGCCTACCTCGTCGACGGCCGCAGTAAATTCGCCCTGCATGCTGTTCATACCATTGGTTCCATCATCTTCATCCGAGTCACCACCAAATGAAAACATGCCGTCTTGGTTCATGGTGGGAATGGTGGGGGATACAAGAGCGCTATCGGGATGCATGCTTTGAGAGTGGTCCATCTGGTTGAAGGACTGGCCCTGGCCCATGGAGCCATAGATGGGGTTACCACTGGGGTCGTTGTACATGAACTGATGATTCATGTTCTGCTGCTGAAAGCCCTGGCCGTGCTGACGAGCATCATGGGGGCTATAGGGGAAGTTGTCCTTATCGGCCATGCCGTGCGGGGTCGAGACGGCAGAGGGGTAGCCAGAGGCGGGGGGCGAGTAAAAGTCGGTGGTGTTGAGCGACGATGGTGCCATGGTGTTATTGAAGGAGGAGAGATGACCGTTGGGGACCATGGGCGACGTGGAGGGAGAAAAGCCAAAATTCTGCTGAAACTGCGAGTTGTTCATCATATTGTCGTTGGGCATGAAGTCGAGGCCAAACTGGTCGATGGGCAGCTGCTGAGGCATGTTGATGTGGGTGTGGCCGTCAAGAGAGTAACCGTGAATGTCTCCGTCGTTATCGACAGCAGAGGGCGCACCGACAGCGCTGATGTGGGGAGAAAAGTTGGCAGGACGTTTCCTCGTCTAGACCATGTTAGCAAGGAAGAGCAAAAAGCGCGCATGTGCGGTGCTATGGACGTGGCCATGTAGCGTACGCAACCAGGGGAAACACACCTGGCGATCGTCTATACTGGTCTTGCGAACTCGGCGCTGGACATAGTTGAATTCGCTGTTGTCGCGTTGCTGGAGGTGAGGCGCATCGGGGACAGACTGAGGTACAAAAGCGGTGCCGAGGCCATCACCTCTGGGCTGCTGGTGGATAGGGATGCCCGAAGGTTGGGCGGCGGAGATGGAGCTAGACATTTGTGGCGAACCAAAGACGCTGGGCGAGCCGGTCTGCTCTGGAAAGATGAATTCATCAATGTTCATCTGATCCGAGTTATGCGTGGGGACAGCATTGGCCTGAGAGGATTTGCGAAGCTGGGCGATTCCACTGGGACCGGATTGAGCACCTGGACGAGAGATGCTGCTATTAAAGAAAAAAATGTGAGTATCGGGTTGGCAACGGCATGTGAGCGGATGAGTGAATGGTTTATGATGATTGTGGGAGCGCAAGAGCTGCGCGCCGAAAATACAGCGGAGGATTAAGCAAGTATGGTGGAAATGGATAGCGGAGAGGTCATTTGGCAATGCAGAGGGAGGAATATAGAATGGCCAGGATGGTTGAAATAAACATGGCAGTACGACAATAGAAAAAATTGCAGAGGCGAGAAGCAGGAGGCTTCGTGCTTCGTGACGGGCGAGGCGGGTGGGCGACACTTACTTTGCTCGACTGTGCTGTTCTTGCTGTTTTTTGCGCATACTGAGAGCCATCATGCGCCAAGTGAGGTTTTCCATGCGTTGCTGGTTGGGAAGGCTCTGCTTGGTCTTGGTGAAGAACTTCCAGACCTGGGCGGCGAGGGGATCGTCGTTCTGCATCTGGTCGAGGTTGGGGCCAGCAGCGCCGTCGGCGTCGCCGAGGGTGGGAAAGAGGGCATCGCCGAGGAGATGGTCGTGTTTGGCAAACGACTTTTCCAAGTCGAGGGCGCGGGAGGAGTGAGATGCAGTGCTGGGGGAGTTGGCGACGGCGAGGCGGCCGGGGCGCGGACTGGAGTCGGTCGAGATGTCGTCGGCCGTGGTGGCTCTGGGGTCGGGTCTTCGCGGGAAGCGGTAGTCGTGCTCTGTGGTGGTGGGATGCATGACGAAGGTCCCGGGGGAGGGGAAGGGTGTTTTTTTTTTTTTTTCGCGGCTCTAGCAGATGCGAGAGAGAGCGATTGCGGGCGGCCAAAGAGATAGTCGTATTGGCGATGAACGGTGATGCGCGAGGGCGATACGGCTGGGCGGGACGAAGGCGGCGGCACAGGAGGGATGAATAAAAAAAAAGGATGGTCGGGAGGAGAGAGGATGGGGAGAGGTGGGTGGCGGGCGAGCGAAATTGAGGCGGAGAGGGCAAAGCGAGGCAGCGGCGGGGTGAGCTTGGTGGTGTGCGGTGCGGTGCCGCTGCTGTGCACTTGCGCCGGTGGTGCTGGTGCTGGTCTACAAACTGGTTGCTGGTAATGGTGCTGGTGCTGGTCTGGCGCTGGTGCTTGGTGCTTTCAATGCTCTTCTTTTTCTTGTCCGCCAATTTGCTCGTGCTTCCGATGGGCTGCTGCAATGGGCGACAATGTCGGATGTAGCGGGCGTAGCGCAGTCTTCCAGTGGTTCTAGTGGTTTTGGGCGGGCGCCGGCGATGCGCCGGGACACTCGAGACGAGCGGCGTTGGTGCCCTCAATGCCCTCAATGCTTCCTTTGTCGCAGCAGCTGCTAGTTAATACCGAGTGGGCAATAGTTGATGTGTGGTGTGTTTTGCCCCAAGCTAAATTGTTCTTGCGGCCCACCAGGTGCGCCCAAAGACCGTCCGATCGGAGGTTTTGTTTGCCTTGGATCTGCGTCAGAGGCTGTCACTGTTGACCATATGTATTTCCCTCAATGGCGACGGTCCGAAAGAAGCCAGAAGGATTGATCCTATAATACCCTACGCTGTCGACGTATATTTTTAACCCATTTCTTTTCCCAAGAGATGCCGGCGTTGGCTCCGAGATGGGTCAACAGATGTGCGGGAAAATCAATAGGCGGAGGCAAGTCGACCAAGAGCAAGGACGCTAGCGACAGAGGCTACAGGGGGACTCGAACGAGTTTGAGGATGCGTTTCCACCTAGACCAGAGAGGAAAGGGTGCATGACAAGTCAAGGGCCAGCCAGGGTGGTGAATGGATGATGCGGCGATGGTGGTGGCGTTGGCGTTGGCGTTGGCGCGGGCGAGCTGGCGGCGAGATGTCGTCGATGTCGATGTGTGTGCTTGGACTCTTTGTTAATACCTGTTAGTAGCACCTAGTTACCAGTACCGCTGGAATGGCGTCTTGTTTGTCTGGCTGTTGGAAAATGGTGCAGTGGGCCTCGGGTATCGGAGGAAATCGTCACACGAGGCCATATAACCCGTAGTATTACTGGTCGAATGAGTAGCAGCAAGTACCTGCCGCCGTGTACGAGTATTTCCCCAGCAAAAAACCGCCCCGGCAATTTTATGAGTCGTTGTACCTAAAAATCGCATCTTAATAATAACCAATACTGCTTGAAAAATACCTGTAATACCTCACGCACTATTGCAGCTTGCTCACTGGCATCGGGTCGGCGTAGCGCTGGAAGCGGGGAGACGAGGCTGCCTTGGACTCCGCTGAGCGGGGGACAATCCCACCAGAACTGGCATGCCGTCCCCTGTACGAATCCCTGCACGTCCCCTAAATTAATGCGGCGTTGCTGCAAGTGCTGCATCCACGGCAGGTTTCCGTTGCGACGCAACGCAACGCTACGCAGCTAGCCTTCCCCAGTCGTTTATAAGAGTCGGATGTCACTCACGTCTATTTTCTATTTTTTGTTTCTTCCCTTCCTGTCTTCTGTCCCTGCTTGGCCTGCTTGGCTGCGACGCCACGTCCGGCCGGTCCTGACCTACGACTACAGTGGGGCACCATAAGTTCCGTTCAATCCCAAAATAAGCCCTATACCACACATCACGCTATAAACAACACACAGTTTTATAACCGCGATAACTCCTTCTACAATAGAGGAATTATCTCTAAAAAAACACTATTCACCTTATAAACAAATAAAGATTATAACTATATACAATTTAGGTATTAAGCTAAAAGATATTACTATTAGTAAGGGAGTTCTAGTTAATAGTATCTATAGTATTATATAATATTACTATATCTAAAAGAGCGCCTAGAGCCTACTATACTCTAGTAGGCTACCTATTATATTAGAATGCGATTTAAAGGTTATAATATATATTATTAATAATAACCTATTTATTAAGAATACTAATTTACTTAGAGAGGCTAGATTAATATACTCCGCTATAATACTAACCTATTACCTTAAGAAATATAGTATCTAGTATATAATAGCTCTCTAGTAACCTAAATTAATAAAGGTAATTATATTAAAGAGGCTATAGTTTACTTTATAATATATTAATTAAGATCTAGTAATTTAAGAATACTAGATTTTCTCTAATAAGACTATAATTATATATAGTAAAGGGTAGTAAAGGGAGTAGGTATTTTACTATAGGGTATATAACTTTAATATACTATAACTTTAAAACCTAATATTATAAAAGAAAAAAAAAAGATAAGAAGAATATTTAGCTAAAGATTAAGCTAACCTACTATTTTTAAATATTTTAGGCTAGCTTTATATATAGGTAATAAATAAACCTAGTAAGCCTCTTTAGTAACCCTAATAGCCCCTAAGGTAGTGTTATTAGCCGCTAAATACTTACTTATCTATAGGAAAATTTACCTATAATTATAGAACCTAGATATATATTCACTTAAGATAATATATTAACTTATATAGCCTAAATCGTTAAAGATTAGCTATATAAGTAAGGTATAAAGTATAGTATTAGTTATATAGATTAGCTGCCCTACTTACCTAATCTTAACCCTATTAAGAACCTCTAGAAATTATTAAAAGAAAATATTTTAAAAAAAGATCCTAGCCTAGTAAAGATACTAAAATTAGAGGCTACTCTTAAGAGATTAGTTAAGGCCATAAAGGAGGCATAGGAGGAATTTAATAATAGCCTATTAGAGACACTTATAATATTAATAGTCTAGCGCCTCTAGGCTATTATTAATACTAATAGTTAGTATATAAAGTATTAAAATTAGTACTAGGTAAATTATATAAGTTACTATATGTATAAATTTTATAAATTTATTTTATTAAGAAATATAAATGTTATAGTAATTATAAAATTAGGTGTAGATAGGTATAACTTTGAAAAAAATGGGGCCGAATAGAACTTATGGTGACCGACTGTACCAGCAGCCTAACGACCGCACCTCTTCCGCCCCAAACGAGGTACTATATCCAATACGAAATTGCATTTCTCATCGCTCGATTTTTTCCTTTGCCAGCTTCTGTGCAACGTCATCTCGTCTTCTTCTTGCCTAGCCCCATCTGTCTCCCCTGCCCGTTCCTTCGTAGAGTCGTAACCTAAACTCAACTGCGCCAGCGACTCACGACCACCGCCCGAAACCGCAGATCGGCGCATAGTTACCTTGTACCATCACTTGCTTCTAACTTGTCCCGGCCGGCCTCATCTGACTGCCAAGAAGCCGACAGAGTTTCCAATGAATGCCAAATGTGGGGGATGTTAGTCAATACCTGCGTGCGATTCAGTGTCGTCGCAGAGTATAATCTACAGTTGTTGGCTGAATTCTGCGCTCCTTGTTCTCGTTTATTTCCAATTCAACCCTGGTCACACGTTGTTCCTCCTCTTTTGGTCCCGTTTTCAGTACCAGGAGACTACAAAGACTACAAAGTAATAGTCCGTAGTTTATTCAGCATCCGTCATTGCTGTCGAAAAGCATGTGCAAGTGGAAAGCTAGGCGGGTCGCTAAGGTGTCGAATAGTGAGACAGGTGGGGTCCAATCATGTCTTGTCCTGGAGCCGCACAAAGCAACGAGGGCCTAGGCCAGCAACCAAGCAACCTTCCTGTGTCAATTTGCGGCTGGACCTAGGCTATTTTATTGATTTATTAGCAACATCCGACCTGCTGGCATCATGCTGCGCATCGCTTCAACTGTAAGCTTCGTGGCGGCGGGTCTCTCCAAGTACCCTGCAAATCTCGACTGCCATCTCGCTGTAGCGGCGCAGCCCCATAACCTCCCACTTTCCTCCTCGTTGCTGCTGGGCGCCTTTCATTAGCCGGCGCCAGGCCGACGCCGGCAACGGAGCATCCCTCCAAATTCTTCCGACCCTCGCTCCGCTCCGTCCACCGCCCGGCCAGTGCCTGTTTCTGCCTTGCCTCCCTCGCCGTACACTGAGTTGAGGCTATTGTAGCTGCGCATGTCCTGCCTTCCACAGCTGCATTCGCATTTATTAAACTATGCTGGTCTCGGAGCCACCAATTCAGCGCTTCGTATTAATAAATCTGCTTGCCAGCTGCCACCACCGAGCTTGTCTGCCAGCTGCCAGGTGCCAGCTGTCAACTAACTGCCAGGTGCCAGCTACACTCAGCGTTTGCCCCCAAAACACCAACAAAACATCACCACTTGACCCCCCTCAAATCTCCGACCTCTCTCCAATCGTCGTTATTCGTATCCATCCCTCCCGCGAAGTCGTGCTATGGCACTCATCTCCGACCAGCCTCATTCTTGCTTCCCACCATTGCACCGAAACCACCCCGAAGTACCCACTCTCGCTATCACCAAAAGTCGGATAACAAACAGTTTCCTGCCCGCGGTCCAATCACATGTGTCCCTACGGCTTATCGATATCCCCTGCCCATGGACAGTCTGGCTATCGGCGCGTTCACGCTGCGCTACGCTACCGTGTGGCTTGCTCATCCATCAATAGCTCTGGACATTTCTGACACCTCTGGCCTTATTTGCCTGCCGACATATGTATGCAGAGACCAGACCGACGGCTACAATTCTGCACCCTTCTGCATCTCGCTGCATCTCGCTGCGCCTCTCACCCTCAGCTCGCCTCGCGGATACCGCTCCGAGCCTCCCCGCCCGCGCCGCCACCCACCTTCTCACCAAGATGGCTCGCTCATGAGATTTCTGCGCAGATGCTCCTACCCATCTTGCCCTGACCGACCAGCCGTCGCATGCACCACCGCAGCCATGGAATGACTCTCGTACCACCACACGTTGTCTGATCGTCCACGCACCACTTGCCGTGTTTTACTTGACCTTCAGCTTCAGCAGCGCACAGCCTTGAGCCTGCGCGGCCAGGTGTCCGCGATGCGCCGCCAAATGCGACAGCGCTCTCTAACTACTATTCGTACTCAATAGTTAGTTAGAGTATCCTCAGCTGCGACGCTCGCCTCGGCTTCTTCATCCCAGCAACCATCTACATACATGGGCCTGTCAAGCTAGTTAACTTCCACTACAGAATGCAACGCTACCCGTCGTCACCGTCCTCATTTGTGACCGACCCAGCAACGCAAATGCACACATGCGCCAAAGGGCCAAACCTTAAGAAAGCCACAATGCCATGGAGCCTCTGCAGGATTCTGGGATTCTGGCTCTCGCCAGCGCCGTCGTGGTCTGTGTCATCCAGGCCAAGGAGCTTATGCGCTGGTAGGCCTCGTGGCACACTGGCGCCGCGCCAAAATAGGCATCCCGCGGCGTGACAACGGTCTGCCGCTCTCCCGGCCCGACGAGCCACACCTCCAACGCCTCTCCCCTTGGTATTGCCGGAGTACATATTTGTGAATAGTAATTATCCGCACTGATAAGCAATCCCACTCCAGACCTTTTTCTTATCGAAGCAGAAAACCACCGCTACCGAATTTGCCTACAACCTTTGCACCCCTGGTGAACAAGGCCCAGCCCGTACCCGCTGTGCGCCGACCTGCCGTTGCCGGCTGCCACGAGCTGCTGCAGAAATGCGTGTTGTGCAGCAGGCGGGGCCGAGAATCGGAACACGAGTCTTGGTGAACCCAAAAGACCCTACAGTCGGATTGGCCAATTTACTGAGGCTGATATATACTAGGATGTGGCCAGCTCAACTGTGCTTTTCAACCCGGACATTCCCTTGCGCCGCAGCAGCTGCAGCCGGGGACACTGCAGAAAACGGCTGCTATTCTGTAATTCCGCTACCCCCAGATGTTCACTTCTACTTTTCTCAAGCTCAAGCGCAATAAATAGGAAAACCGCATCCAGCGCGACTGTTGAAGTTGTGCGCCCTTTCACAATTGCCCAGCGATGCCTCCGACCGACTATATATGGTGTTAAATCGGTACGCTCTAGGTATGAGATGACTTTGATGGTCCTTGTTCCCTCGAGGTGGAGGAATCGTTTCTAGAGCACGATTTATGCTGCCTCGTTGTTGCCGACTGCCCAACTTTCTGGCAGCATTCATCTCACAGCTGCCCGCACACACGCACACAACTACTCGCTGGGTTTAAATAAAAGAGAAAAATGAGGCAAGAAAAGACTTGATGCCTAAAGGACCATTCCACACGTAACTAGAAACCTTGGTCAGACGAAATGGGTGTGCGACAATTGCGACGATTTCTGAAGAGTCATACAGGGTAGCCAGAATTGCTTAGTAACCTGACCCATACGCAAGAGCTCGATGAGCGAGCATCATATTCGCAGCTACACCTACGCCCTGATTTTTTCCTAAGGCTATACTTTTTCTGCAACGCGAATTGGGGTATGCCTATATAAGTCAACATGCCCAAAGAGAAGAGCTACAACCCCGTGGCCGCCCAACGCAAAGCTGACAAGGCCAAGGCCATCAAAAAAGGTTGGCAGACGACGCGTGCCAAACTGTGATGAACCTTGCCAGCTAACCTTTTGTCCCCGCAGGAAAATCCGAAGCCCAAGAGCGACGAAACGAGCGACTGGCGCGCAAGAACCCGGACCAGCTCCAGAGACAAATCGATGACTTGAAGAAGATTACAGATGGCGGCGGCAAGCTCAGCCGACACGAGGAGCAGGTGCTGGAGGGGCTGGAGAAGGAGAGCAAGGCCGTGAAAAAGGCCAGGGAGGCGCTGGGCGACAAGGCGCCCACGTTTGGGAGGGGATGGACCCGAGACGACGACTCTCGACGCGGCGGGGTGTTGGGCAAGCGACGTCGCGGCTCCCACGGCGCGTCGAGCAGCGACGAGGACGTGGCAGACGACGTCAAGAGCATACCCATGCCGCGCGACACGCCGCCGCCGATACCGAAAGCGGTCTTGGACGTGTGGTACAGCAAGCGCCGCGCGCAGCGGAATGCAGAGCAGGCGGCGCGGGATCGGGCAGACGGACGACAAGGCGGCGGCGGCGGCGACGCGGACAAGGAGAAGAAGCCGGTAGTAGAGGCCCGTACAGTGTACGAGGCGGCACCCATCACGCGCGACCTGCACAAGGAGGCGGTGGCGGCGTTTGTGCCGGCAGCGGTGCGCTCCAAGCTGGCCAAGGGCGCGGGCCAGGGCGGGCTGATGGAGCCCGAGGAGGCGGATGCTCTGGAGAGACAGGGGTACCTGGCGGCGTCGAAGCAACCGGGAGGGGAAACGGCATTGCGGAATGCCACGGTAGAAGATGCAGAAGATGAAGAGGATTGACGTTGGTGGGCGGCAAGGTCATGGAGATGGAGAGGGTGTTTTACGCATGTATACTATTGATGATTTCACGATACCACGGGTGTTCGGGCCTTTAGAATGGAACTGTTTCAAGGTCAAGGGGTCGCAAAGTCGTTTTCGAAGCTCATTGTCTGTAAAGTCAAGCTCACCATCAAGCCACCAGTAGCTGGAAGAATAGCTACACAAGGAGAACAAGATTGCATATTTACATACTGCTCCCAATTGAGCCACAACTACACTTCGTTTCATTTCAATGCTGGGGCTGTTGCCCATGCCGTCGTTGTGCGCCCGCGGCCCTTGTCTCATTCCACGGAGTTGAAGCGGGATGGGAGCTGCTTCGTAAATATCAGCACAGCCGGGGGGAGGGTTTTATAAATTTATATAAGAGCTCCAACGACGGCGCAATCCGACAGGAAATATTTATTCTACTCATCTTCTCTCATTTCCATCACCACCTGGGCTTTTCAGCGACACCCAGGTCCTACACCAAGTGTTGCGTTGAAGCCGGTCCCATCTCTGCCTCTACTTGAACCCCTCACTAGACGCCGACTTGACCCCTCAACCAGGGTCATCGTCACCATCAGCATCAACCACAACGGGGATCAATTGGCCAAGCCCATGGTCCAATAAAACATTTCGTCAAAAAAAACAAACCAGACTCTATACAAAACAGCCGCCACCAAAAGCATGTCGTCGGCGCAGTCAGTCCAGGCCGAGGACGCCTACTTCTCGTCGAACCCGCCGCCGCGGCACCTCGAGGCGCACCTCGCCTCTGCGCGGACCTTTATTCAGTCCCACGCGGCGGCGCAGCGCCGGGTCGTGCTCATCACGTCGGGCGGGACGACGGTGCCGCTGGAGAAGCAGACGGTGCGGTTCATCGACAACTTCAGCGCGGGCACGCGCGGCGCCACGTCGGCCGAGTACTTTCTCGGCGCCGGGTACGCCGTCATCTTCCTGCACCGCGAGTTCAGCCTGCAGCCGTACTCGCGGCACTACACGCACGCCAAGGACTGCTTCCTGGACTTCCTCGAGGAGGACGCCGACGACGCGCGCGTCGTGGTCCGCCCCCGCGACCAGACGCGCCTCCGCGCCGTGCTGCGCGAGTACAAAAAGGCCCGCCAGCACGACATGCTGCTCCTGCTCCCGTTTGTCACCATTGGCGACTACCTGCACGAGCTGCGCGGGCTGGCGCGCCTCATGCGGCCGCTCGGCCCCGCCGGCCTGCTGTACCTGGCGGCCGCCGTGTCCGACTTCTTCGTGCCGCCGGAGCGCATGGCCGAGCACAAGATCCAGTCCACGGACGCGGCGTGCACGCTGGCGGGGGCCGACGAGGAGGAGGAGGCGTTTGACAACTTTGACGCGCCGCGCGTGCCGCGCTCCAAGCGGCTCGTCGTGGACCTCGACCCCGTGCCCAAGTTTCTCGAGAACCTCGTCGACGGGTGGGCGCCCGAGGGCATGATTGCCAGCTACAAGCTCGAGACGGACCCGGCGCTGCTGGTGCACAAGGCGCGCACCAGCCTCGACCGCTACCAGCACCACCTCGTCATTGGCAACCTGCTGACGACGCGCAAGTGGGAAGTGGTCTTTGTGAGCCCCCGCCGCGCCGACCGCTGGCTGCGCGTCGCGAGAAAGGGCGGCTGGGGCGACGCCGAGGGCCGCCCGCTCCGCGCCGACGAGGTACCTGCCGACGAGCCCGACGAGGAGATTGAGGCGCTGATTATACCGGCGGTCGCGGAGCTGCACGACGCGCATATCGCGGCCAAGAAGGGGGCAGCGCAGGGCTGATGGGGACTGGCACGGCAGAAGGGCAGAATCACTGGATATAGTACAATATAAATGAGAAATAAAAAGTCTAAATAACTGTTCAGTGTGCACGACGGCTACAAGATGCGTTTGCCTCGTTGACGCCGCATTGCACATGTCATGTCAGTCGCATAGCATATCCCCTGAATACTATTCTGAAGCCTTTACCAAGTTGGGATCTCATGCCAGTCCAGAAAACGTGACAAGAAGCACGCCGGTATTGCCTGCGTGTGATTGCCAGCCCGCCGTCGACGCTCAGGTGAGCTCAACCCAGTAAGATATTCGTAGGAATTCATATCAGAAAAGACCCTCTCGTCTCCGTGCTGAAGTTGGCCGCAGTCTAGCCGTCGTTTGGTGCAATGTTCGCAGTCGGCTTCCTTCATCGGCCAACTTGGTTGGACAGCTTCCTCCACAGCTCTACCAAGGTGTATCCCAGCTTGTCGAGTGACAGTGAACCCCCAAAAAAAACCAGAAAAAAAAAATCGAATGACTCCATAAACATACCCCATCGACCCAGGAGCACCAACAATTTCTCAGCCCTGTCCCGGAACGCTATCCGTGCCAGGGTCCAGTGCAAGGATCTCTGTCCAGGGCTACAATCAAGAAGGAATTCTAGAAGGGAAATTTCAGAAATAAAGGGTCATCGGCCAACGAAAAACCCGGAAGCTGCCGAGGAGACATCATTATTCCCAGCTTGAGCCTTGTCCCCCCCTTATGACCTGCAGTATCGCGGCCCTGCCGTCTGCGCCCACGAGGTCGGCCGGGCATTTGGGAGCGGGAAACGGGGCCGTCGAAGAAGCAGCAAATTTTTTTCCGTTTCACATTCAGGATGGCCACGATGACATGGACGCGGATTGCTCTTCTTACCAGGGCGTACAGCGGTGACGCTGCTTCTTTTGCATGGCCCTGCAATTTGTACAAGGCCGTCTGGTGCAGAATGTTGTGGTGAAGCAGGTTGCCAAGCTAGTCGAGGCGGCCGATCCGACGCCACGCGGGATCGGGGCTTGCGAGGCAAATCTACTCATGATGTTTCGCTATCAAATTCAACAAATCTCTTCTGTGCCCCCTGGACAGTTGTGTACTTTGTACACTGACACTTCGTCGGCCTACCTTTCCTTGTCCGGGGTCTCTTCGCCTATGGCCATATTTCTTATTTCCCTGTTCCCTGTTCCATCTCCATGCCGGCCGGCAAACAGGTTCTTTGTATTATTAATGACGGCTTCTGGGGAGGTCAAGGCAGCAAGCTCCATTTTCGCCAGCCCCTCTTTCAGGTCTATTTGCTTGGCTCGACGAAAGTGAAGAGACTGTGGGAAGGAAAAAACAAGAAGAAAATAATAAGAAAAAAAAAAACGGCCGCCTTCTACGCGCTGGTGGCTTTTCTCTCGCCTGCCCGGTTCGGGCTGCAGATCATGGCTTGCGTCGGGGGACTTTTGGGCGGGCGCTTGCAATAGATTGGTGCGCCGCCTCCGCACAAGCTGGCTCCGATAAGGAGTCCAAGAGAACTAGTCAAGTCAGATGGGCGCTTGGAGCAAGATTTTAACCTTAATTTAGTCCCAATGGCTGACGGAAGGATTCGGCCTATACGAGGTCTTGGCTGCGAGTTCGGGTAGAATCCTGATGTTACAACGACCTTTTGTGCTGAGCTTAGGAGAGATGACGGCGGAAACATTGAGTCGACATTGTAAATGTAGTGCATCGGTGACTTATCCGACATGATAGTTTAAAGGCAGCGGCACTATTCACTCCGGGGTAGCACCTACCACTAGCAACAAAACTCGCATCAACTGGTACAGCAACAAACTCATCACCGTACTCTTAAAGTCCAGGTTATAGCAAATTCTTTCTAGAATGGCATCACCTGGGCATTAGATAGATTCTCCTGCTCTTTCCAGCTGTCCCTCCTCCTCATTAGGTAACACAAATGCCTATTCTCTCCCCCCGTCCGACGCTCTGCATGTAGTGGCGGTTGCTTGTCCGCCAATGTCTCATTTCGCCCACTCCATCGGCACACGGCCCGATGAAGAAGGTTCTGTCTCTCATCGCACTCCGCCCATTCACATCGCCTTCCGCTATAGGGGGGGGGCGAGTTGCGCGCGTTCCCCAGCAGCGCTGACGCCAGAGTCCTACCAGCTAATTCCGATTGCCCGTTCTAGGAAGCTCACTCGCCCGGTCCTTGCAGGCTAAAAGGCTCGGCGGCTCCGTTCCTCTGTAAAAAACTCTCAGCCTGGTCCCACCAGCCCAAACCCCCGGCCGAGGTGAGGGGCGGCGCAGAATCTCGGTCGGACGCAGGACCCGGCGGCGGCGGCGCAACGCTAAAAAGTTTATTATCCATCCGTCGTGTTCCCACAGGCCGAATATGCAGCGTGCCCATGCTCGATAGGGCAGGTCAGCCCATAGACTTTATTACCCCCCAGGTGAAAGGGGTCGGCTACGGTGTGCAGTCTGCCATCAATCCCCCTTGGCCAAGAACCAGGCCACCAACCAGCGACGGACGTTTCTCGCTGTTCGCTGCTGCGTGGCGCGCCTCCTCATTTAGTCTTGGACCGGGGGGGAAGACGCAAGGCCAATCAGATACAGAGCCGGGGAGAGGTCATGGGGGAACGATACCAACGACTGCCAAAGGGACCTCGATGTTGTTACATCGCGCAACCGGCGCGGGCACAGGCTCATTCGTTGTCCGGATGACTTGGTCCTCGTGCATGTATATATAGTCCTCGCCAACCGCACATTTGCATGTAGATTCCCGTTCATCATTGCATCTTCCTCACAGCCTGTCTTGGTTGCTCTTATCCATCTCTCTACCTACCGTCTTATACCAAACAAGGCTCTCACTACACCACCAGCTCCCTCATACCCAACAAGAGCAATGCTTCTTTCTACCCGCCTCGTTGCCGCCGTTCTGGCCGCCCTACCCCTGGCCGCGGCCTACCCTCCGGAGCTCGCCCGCAGCACGCGCGAGTTCTGCCAGAGCGAGCCCAGCCCGGCGCTGCTCGCGCTGCACGAGAAGATTGTCACGGGCGACCAGCCGACGCTGGACAAGATTGCGCAGGGCGAGGAGATTATTGCCGACGCGCTCGCCAAGGGCGACGCCGGCCTGCACGGGCGCACCACCGGCATGACCGTCACCAAGCGGGAGACGGGCGAGCTGATAACCCTCGACGCGTGGTTCCACGTCGTCTACAACTCCAACTCGACCGCCGGCGGCTACATCCCGGTACGTTGCCCCCGCTCCCAATGATAGCTCTAGGAAGACAGCTAACACACCCCCCTCCCCGGCAGCCGGCCAAGCTCCAGGAGCAGCTCCAGGTGCTCAACAAGGCGTACGACCCGAGCAACCTCGGCTTCCGGCTCGTGGGCAGCACGTACACGGAGAACGCGGCGTGGGCCAACGACCCGGACGGCAACGAGACGCCGATGAAGACGGCGCTGCACCGGGGCGACTCGCGCACGCTCAACCTGTACTTTGTGCCGGGCCTCGGCAACGGCGGCGTCTGCGTCTTCCCCAACATGAACGCGTACGGCAACGAGGCGCTCGCGCTCGACGGCTGCATGGTCGGCACCTTTTCCCTGCCCGGCAACAAGGGGCCCTTCAACATGGGGCTCACCGCCGTCCACGAGGTCGGCCACTGGTTCGGCCTGCTGCACACCTTCCAGGGCGGCTGCGACGCCGTCCGCGGCGACTTCATCGCCGACACCCCCGCCGAGAGGACCGCTAATGTCGCCGTCTGCCCCGCCGGCCGCGACACCTGCCCGGAGCTGCCCGGCCTGGACCCGATTGAGAACTACATGGACTACTCCAACGAGTAAGTGAGCCTGGCGCATCGCGGGCCGCAGCGCATATACTGACCTGCATGATAGTGCTTGCTACAACACATTTACCCCCGGCCAGACCAGCCGCATGCGCTCGCTGCTGGCGCTGGTTCGTCTCGGGCCTCTTTCTTAAGGTCGAGAGATGGTGGCTGCGGTCTTGTACATATGAATAGGATGCTGCATGGTGGGCGAGCGAGGAAGCATTAGAGCGTGGTTGCATTTCACAGTGTGAGAAGGAGAGCATATTGATCGGATGTGGCATGTTGAGCGAGCGAGGAGGCAATAGAAGCAATAGAGCGAGTGGCTGCATTTACAATGGCGCGAGACGGGAAGCATATTGGCAGTCAATACATCATTTTTCACTTGATCCGGTTCCCGTACCGCGTTTCTATAAACAGATTCAGCGCCGCCACAAGTCTCACATGGAGCCGAGACTCGCGGTCGCCAGCAGAGACATTGTCCCGCAGCCAGCCACTGATACGCCGTGATGGCAGCCGTCGTGCATCCAGATGCACATCGCAAGACGAGGAGAGACATGCATCTTGGCCCACCAGCTGAGATACATGACGCACAATACACGTACATTATGCACGACGAACATTGGCCCCGTTCTGCAATCACTCTACCAGCTCCTCAACTATATCAGCCAGATCCATCTGCGAGCTATACTCCTGCCGGTTTCCAGTACATATTGGCGCCGCATATTGCTTCCTCATTCATTAAACCGTCTAGCCTCACGCACAGCATCCTCCAACAACATGCCCGTCTCCCACGCAGCGCCCGCTGCCGGAGCCGCCCGCCCGCCGCAGCTGCGCCGCAACCGCGCCCTGCTCACCATGGTGTCGATGGCGCTCGCCATCGCCGCTGTGCCGTACGGCATGGGCAGCGCGCTCTCAAGCGCGGCGCTCTACGGCGGCGGCCAGCTGTCCATGCTGGCAGGTCTTCTCGTCGTCGTCGTGCTCGACGGGTGCGTCGCCGCGTCGCTCGCCGAGCTCGCCTCGCGCTTCCCAAGCTCGTCGGGCGTCTACGACTGGTCCTACCGACTTCTCGCCTCCCCCAAGCCCGGCCGCCCCGCCGCCGCCGCCGCACCGCTCGCCTACATCACCGGCTGGTGCTGGCTCGTCGGCCACTGGACCGTCACGCTGTCGGTCAACTTTGGGCTCGCCTCGCTGCTCGCGGCGACCGTGTGCCTGTACGACGCGTCGTGGGCCGCCGCGCCCGCCTGGCAGCTGCTGCTCGTCTTCTACGCCGCGTGTCTCGCGACGCTAGTCCTGTGCGCCGTGGGCGACCCGCTGCTGCCGTACGTGGACGGCGTGGCCGCAGCCTGGAACCTGTTCACGCTCGTCGCGCTCGCGGCCGCCGTCGCCGCCACGGCGCACAGCGGGCGCCACCCGGCCGCCGTGGCGCTCGGCCACTACGACGGCTCCGTGTCCGGGTGGGGCGCGGGGGTTCTCCTTCTTTGTCGGGCTGCTGCCGCCGGCGTACACGTTCTGCGCGGTGGGCATGGTGGCGTCGATGGCGGAGGAGTGCGCCGAGCCGGCGGTGCAGGTGCCGCGGGCGATGGCGCTGTGCGTGCCGCTCGGCGGCGCCGCGGCGCTGCTGTTCGTGCTGCCGCTGTGCTTCACGCTGCCGCCGGCGGCGGAGCTGCTCGCGGCGACGCCGTACGGGCAGGCGCTGCCGGCCGTGCTGGCGCGGGTGCTGGGCAGCGCGGGGGCCGCGACGGCCGTCATGGCGCTCGTGCTGGGCGTCGCGCTCTTTTGCTCGGTGAGTATCACGACGGCGGCGTCGCGCTGCACGTGGGCGTTTGCGCGCGACGCGGGGATTCCGCTGCGGGGGGTGTGGGCGAGCACGACGGCAGGCCGGCCGCTGGCGGCGCTGGGGCTGGTCACCGCGGTGGAGATGCTGCTGGGGCTCGTGTATCTCGGGAGCACGAGCGCGTTTACGGCGTTTGTGTCGGTGGGCGTCATGGGGCTCGCTGTCGGGTACCTGGTGCCGATTGCGACGAGCTTGGTGATGGGCCGGCGCGAGGTGGCGACGGCAAGATGGCGCCTGCACCCGGTCGTCGGCGGCGTGGCCAATGTGGTCGCGGTGGTTTGGATCCTGTTTGAGCTGGTCTTGTTTAGCATGCCGCAGACGCTGCCGGTGACGCCGTCGTCGATGAATTATGCGTCGGTGGTGTTTGTTGGGTTTGCTGTTCTGAGCGCGGGGTGGTATTGCATGGCTGCCAGACGCGGTAAGTTGCTGGACTTGAGGCGATGGGAGTTGTATGATATCATGGCTAACTACGTGGTATGGGCAGACTTTAAAGGGCCGTCAGAAGAGAGTCGCATCAACTAACAGACTACGACGTTGGATGCCAGATCACCGATGGACGATAACGGTGGACAGAACAGACGATAACGGTGAACAGGAACAGACGATGGACTGGTTCATATTGTCATCAAAACATGTAACTTTTAATTATTTTTAAATATAAAATGTATCCGTATATCTAAACAGTCCGAGATGAAGGCTGGGCTGGGTCTATGCTGCATCAGCCAGAAGCGTGTCAGTACTGTTTCCAAAGACTGAACAAAAAACAGCAAGACTCACAAAAACCAAGCAAAATTAAACAACAATAACAAAGAAAGAAACTCCGGAAAGAAGATAAATAAACTGCTTTTAGCCAAGTACGCACGAGTCACGCCTGTGTGGTATATATGTCGTTAGATGTCATGAAATGGGCTGGGGGTAGGTATTCTGGGAGGTCAAGGCACGATGGGATTACGCAAGGAGCCAAAGGGCACTAGCTATTCAGTACGCGGCGAGCCAGTTGCCCCAGCCGAGCTGGGCGGCCTTTGCCCAGACGAGGAACACGGCAGAGGCGACGTAGACGCAGCCGGTGAAGACGATGAGCTGCTGGTAGTCGCCGTGGTTGGCCTGAACGATGCTGCCGGCAATGGGGATGCCGATGAGGCAGGCAAAGGAGACGACGGTGTACGTGGTGGCGTAGTAGCGGCCGTACTCCTGCGTCTTGCACATGCGGCCGATGCACACGGGCGAGATGGCGATGCCGGTGCCGCTCGCGAAGCCAAACAGCACGGCAAAGACGATGAGCCCGGCGCTCGTGTGGCCGAGCGGCAGCCACACGCAGAGACACGCGACGACGGAGAGCACGACGCTCAGCAGACAGGTGTTGAAGGCGCCGATGGCGTCGGCGTAGTACCCGGGCAGGCTGCGGCCGACGACGGAGCCGGCGTTCATGATGGGCACGAGGTGGTACGCGTACGCGGCGCCGAAGCCGTGGTGCAGCGCGTACGTGGACAGGTACGCGAGCGGGATGAAGAGCGCAAACTCGAGCAGGAAGATGGCCACGGTGGCGAGCGCAAACGGCCGCTGCCGGAAGATGCGCGGGTCCGGGTGCGCGGTCGCGTTCTGCGCGGGCGGCAGCCGCGCGCGCACGAGCAGCACGCCGACGGCGCCGCACACCAGACACACGAGCGCGAGCGCGCGCGTCGCCCACCCGTACCCGACGCGCGTAAACAGGTCCGTGAGCATGAGCGGGAAGATGATGCCGCCGAGGCCGCCGGCGCATGTCGCGAGGCCTGTGGCGAACCCGCGGCGCGCCTTGAACCAGTGCCCGACGGCGGCGATGCACGGCGTGAAGACGAGGGAGGTGCCGAGGCCGCCGAGGACGCCAAAGGCGAGGATGAAGTGCCAGAGCTCTGTGTGTCCCAATCAGCAAGTCGAGTCAATTCCCCACAGCCCGACGTCGAGCGAAGCGAGCAAAAAAAAAAAAAAAAAGGAAACACAACATACCCGTGCAGAAACTCATCGCCAGCATCGAGCACGTCACGCAAACGGCGCCGCAAATAGTCAGCCATCGCGGCCCATACTTGTCAAAAATAGGACCAAAGTAGACACCGCCGAAAAAGGCGAGAAAGGTGTAGATGGAAAAGATCCAGCCGACGGTGCCCTCGCTGTAGCCGCGGAGCTGGTGGTCGAGGGTGTAGGCCTGGAAGACGGCGATGCTGTTCATGAGGCCCATGGCGGAGAAGAGGGCGAAGAAGGCGCCGAGGACGACGGACCAGGCAGCCCATCCGCCTTCGGGGTAGGGTTCCTCAAACGAGGCCGACGAGGTGGTCTGCCGCTCGACGTCGTCGCTGCCGCTGCTGTTGCCGCCGCCGCTGGCTGGTTGGGCAGCGTCGGCGGCGAGGTTGCTGTGCGAGGCGCTGATGGGGGGCTCGACGACGCGGTAGACGGTGTCGGGCTGCTCGTGGATGACGCGCGAGTTGACCTGCTGAACGTCCATGGTGGTGTGTGTAGATGGGCTGCTTTCAACAGCATGAACAACAAGGACGGGCAGCAGCAGCAGCAGCCTGGGGTCAAGTCGGAGCTGGGTTCTCTTCCTGTATGGTAGGTAGCAAGTAGCAACAAGGAAGGGAACAAGTAATTATAGACCCCACGCCCAAGTAAAAAAAAGTCGATAGGTCAGTAATCGGTCTGAGTGGCCCATACATGTTCGTGGGGTCCAGCCTTTTTATGCCCATTGTTTGCCGCTGCTCGCCGGACGCCGCCGGACGAGGAAAGCCGTTGTCGGGGTGGAGCAAACAGCATGGATCGAGGAACTTTTTTTTTTTCTTTCCTTTTTTTACCCTGTTGTTTTCCGCTTCTGTGGCTTGGGCTAGACGAGCCAATTGGTTCAACTTTAAACCCAGGTTCGGGAATAAATAAAGGTGGCCAATATGGCAACCCAAGGCATCTCCCCTGGACCACCTGGGACTCGGTAGGGCGCGCACATCATGTTCTTTCTCCACCGCCACCCCCAATGTGTTGCATTCGCCAGAGACGACTCGGAAGCTTATTTTTTTCATATGGACCTCGGGGCTTATCTGATGATTCTGCTGCGAGGAGCCATCAGCCTTGGTTTTTCCGCCAAGCATCATGTACCTGTGGAGGGGTGGGCAGAACGCACTCGTGTCACCACGGGTATGCTGTGCGTTGTAATACAAGAAAAAGAGGAGAACAAGGTAAAAAGGCGGCAGTTGCTTCTTCTGCCGCTAGCGAAATTAACTTTGGCCGCACTCGCAGTCGGAACTGCAAGCCATCTAGCGCATCGCATCCATCACGATGCCATCAGCATCAACGACACCAACCAGCGGTCAAGCCGCCTCTTCTCTCCCCCCTGCCAAGCCTGGATATTCAATTCCAAATCCAGAATCTTCTTGATTCTCCACACATCCCCTATCTATCCGAGTTCGGTACACCGCACATACTTTGTCGACCTGCTGCGCCGGGAGCCAACACAGGGAGGGATCCATGTCGTCGCCTCGCTCGACACATCCATCACGGGTTGCAACGCATCGTCGGTATTCGCTATTCCATTGAATCATTACTTCATTCTTACTTCATTCTCTCAACTCAATATGCGTACTTGTAGCAAGTATTCAATCTAGAAATTGAGACAGCTTCATTGCCGCTTCCGTTTCCGTTCCCACCCATCCACAACCATCACACAAACTGAGCAACGCACATCTTTCTGATTCTCTCACAACTCAACCCCAGAGCCATAGCCCTACTCATTATACCACAACGCGCGGTAGTCCTTGTACTCAACATACGGCCTCGCAAAATCCGCGTCATACTCGTCCGCCACCCACCCCGCGCCCGGCAACAACACATCCCTCTGCCAACCAAACGGATTCTGGCCACTCTCATACAAAAACGTCCCAATCTCATCGCTAAACCACAATCCACGTCCCTCGACGTTGTTCTTGGCTTTTGCCAGCCCCATCGTCACCCGCGGCCGCGCCTCCGGCAGTCTATCCGCCCACTTCAGCTTCTCCCGCATCGTTTTCAGCAGCATCCCGTGGTTCTCGCGCCGTCCCATATCCAGCGGGCTAAAGATCAAAAAGCTCAGCTCCACGGTGCGCAGCGTCGCGGGGAGCGCGCCTAGCGCGTCCACCAGGTCCGGTACGCGCACCACAAACTTGGACAGCCCAAAGTGCCGCAGCGACGACCACGTGTCCAGCGGGAGCAACGACTTCAGAGGGAAAAAGCGCTGCGGGGAAGGAGACGCCGGGTCCAACTGCCCGTCGCCGCGCAGGCGAAAGTGCTTCAGATCGCGTGCCTCGGCAAGCAGGCTCTTGAGGAGGCCGTTTCCTAAAAGAGCAACGTCGTTGGGCTGCACGCCGGCGAGGAGGATCGGCAGATCGAGGCGCCGGAAACCCGGCTGGCGCAGGATCAAAGCCAGGTAGTCGCGCTCTTCGCACTCCTGCGCCAGCATGTACGGGCTGACGCCTGTATTGAGCGAGTGCACGTCCATGACCAGCTCCGGCACCGCGCTGCCGCCGTCTTGGACGCGCGTCGCGAGCGCCCGCAGCACCAGTACCAGACCCCTCCAGCGTGCCTTTTCGCGCTCGACAGAGTCTGCCGTCCAACCCGGGCTGGGCACCCACGGGAACAGCTCCTGCAGCAGCGTCTCCTGCAGCGGCCTCTCCTTGGATGTCGGCCAGCCGCGCGGCAGCGGGTAGTTGAAGCCGTACGGCAGATTGCGGATCATGGGTGTGTAGTACAGCGGCGTGTACAGGAACCCGTGCGTCGCGGGGGTAATAGTGATGCGCTCCAGCGCCGGAAACGCTGCGAGGCCGTCCACCAGAGCCTGCATATCCTCCCCAGTCTCCATCGACGCCTCCTGCGCCCGCAGCAGGTCCCGGTAATGCTGGTAGGTCTGTTCCACCGGGGGCTCTGCGGCCCGCTGCGCATCCCGTGCCGCGCGCCCCGCCACGTTGCCTGAATCGTTGGCGTGGCGGCCGCGCAGCTCCAGCCGGTTCCTCTGGCGGCGAAGGCTAAACCACATCATCATGGGCTCTGGATCCGAAGAGTACACGCCGTGGCTGCCCGGCGAAACCTGCTGGTTGTCCGACGCCTCGAGGCCTCGCTGGATCGCATTATCCGAGGCGCTTATGTCTCTCTCCTCCTGGTTGGTGGTGTCGTTGAAGCAGTCCCGGCGCCGGGTTATATCTGGGAGGCGCGCGTCGTCGACGACAATCTCGCGAACGCCGAGGCGGAAAGTCGGGTGCGCGGCGACGGCACGGAACACGGCGAGATTGCTCGGATCCGGCGAGAGAAAGACACGGGTGAAGCGCGGCGGCACGGCGTGGCAGAGGGACGGCGCAGCGAGGCGCAGGGACTTGATGTCCGAGTTGGGCAGGTGCTGGCAGATGCCGGCAAGAATCTCCGAGGGAAAGTCGAGGAGCAGCAGACGTTTGCCTGTAGTGGCTTCCGGGTCGGACGCCATGGTGTGTTGCGTAAAAGAGACTGAGAATCAGGGGAGCTTGTATGGGACGAGCTTGCTCGATGCTGAAGACCTTGGTGTTGTAGACGACTTGCTATCGAGCAAGCACTCTTGCGCGTTTAAATGACGACGACTTGCTATCGAAATATGCTATCGAAATGTACCAGATGCTGGAAAAATTTCTTGTAGAGATATGATAATCTGTTGCCGAGTCTGTACCTCGATGAATGCATGCTGTTAGCCCGCTGCCCGCACAACCAGCGTGCACCGTGAATAGAGGGAGAAGCAAACACGTACCAAAGCTTATTTTTAACAAAACATAACACGCCGAATATGGACTGGTGACTCGACGTTGTTTTCAAAGCAAAAAGTCCTTTTTGCTAGGCAGCAAAGCCACGGCTGGGGTTGCTCTTGGCCCGCGCGTTTGTAGTTGGTGAATGAAGGAAGTTGCTTTAAAGCTGGGCGAGGGATTGCGGGGTTGTACCATCAGGCACATCTGAGCAAACACTTCAGGCAGCAGTCGTTGGTTCCACGACGCATGTAACAATTTGAACATGATTAATTATTCTCTTTTCTAAATAACTAACATTACTCTGTTCTATGCTTACAATTTCTTTCTTCTGCCCGTATCAATACGCCCTTTTGCCTCGTGCTATTGCCTGCCTGGGGCCAGCCTCCACGCCCGCAGCGGCAGGGCTTGGAGCTGTCGCACCTTGGGCTTAATGTACCAGAAAAAGGTGACGGCGCCAAAGATCACGCACAGGACATTGACCCAGTAGTAGCCGTCGCGCGTCATCTGGCACACGCCGCCGCCGTCTTGGCATCGCTCCTTTTCAGCCTGGACGGCGCAGGAAAACGCCTCCGTCACCAGCGTGCCCTTGAGCTTGGCGCTGCTGGTGTGCTTGCCGGGGTGGCAGGTGGCTACCGTAAAGACGTCGACGAGGCGCAGCACAAAGTAGCGAGGGAATGTGCCTCCCAGGTTGGAGACGGTGGCGAGCAGCGTCATGTAGGTGCCGCCGATGACGGGGTCCGAGACCTTGGCGTGGAAGGCTGAGACGGCGACAAACATGATGGTGTTGGTAAAGGTCGAGATGATGTGCGAGAGGATGACAGTGACAAGGTACCAGGTCGTGACGCCCTCGGCGGGGAAGATAGCCACGGTGAGCTGCGCCAAAAGGGCAGCACCGAGACGGCCGACAAAGCCCCAGCCCCAGAGTCTCATGGCACCGTATTTTTGCGACCACATGCCTGCATAGTAGCCCAGGCCAATCTCAAAGGGGAAATCAATCAGAACCGTCAGGGCCATGTTGTCCTTGCCAAAGCCCTTGTCGAGAAGCTTGAGGTTGGTGACGCCGTCATTGGCCTGGAAGCCAATCTTGGCAATGAGATGGACAATGATGATGGTCTGCACGTTCTTGAGCTTGAGGATGCCCCACATGATCTTGTAGACCTCCCAGACACCCTCCTCGTTTTGCGACTTTTCCTCGCGCTTGATAAAGCCGAGACCGATGGTGACAAGAATATACATCCAGCCCCAAAACGTCAGGTAGCCACCGAGCGAGACGAGACCGTCGTCCGAGGGGACGGCTCGGAACCACTTGTTGGCAAAGTCAGAGGCGTTGAGGGCGAGGAAGACAGTGTAAGACATGAAATGGCCGGCAGTCAGGCCGACGGTCTGCGCAGTCGACGCGTACGAAACGTTGCCAGGGCTCAGCAGAGTCAGAGCCCAGCCGTCAACAGCGATGTCCTGGGTGGCGCACATGAGGACCAGGAAGAACCACCAGAGCATAAAGGACCAGACGGTGGGGCCGCCGGGCTTACCAGTAGTCGCCAACATGCCCTCGACGTGGCCACCGAGCCAGAGCATGCCAAAGCCGGAGAGGAACTGGATGGGGACGATCCACGTCTTGCGGCGGCCAAACCGGGGGCTCCATACGGCGTCGACAAACGGGCTCCAGAGAAGCTTGAGCGAGTAGGGGTAGGACGCCAGCGTGAAGACGCCAATCTCGGTGTACGACATGTGGTTCTTGAGTAGAAAGGGGACGGAGCCCATGGCGAGGCCCATGGGGATGCCCTGGAGAAAGTAGAGTAGGACGAGGAGCATAAAGTTGCGCTGGTCCTGCAGCGGCAGCTGGAAGAAGCCGGCATCGTTGGCCGCCGGCGACTTGGGTACGGGGTCGTCGAGGGAGAAGGACTCGCGGGCCATGTAGTTGGAGGTGAGGGAGGCGGCATCGTTGGCGGCGGCCTTGCGGCGCATCTCGACGCCGGCGTTCATGGTGCCGTTTTTCTTGTTGCGGCGCGGCGTGGCTACTTTGCCGTTGATGTCGCCGTTGATGTCGCCGTTGATGTCGCTGTTGACGTCGACGTTGGTGTCGCCGTTGGTGTCGCGGCCGGTGTTGATGGACAAGGGCGAGGCGCTCTTCTCCCCGTGCGACCTCCGCTGTCGCGCTCTGGCCCCCATAGGAAGAAACGGCCGCGGATCGGATAGAGGGCGCAGGGGTGGCAGGTCCCAGGCTCAGACCTGTGTGGTGTGTATGTTTGCTTTTTCGCGTATCAAAAATTCGACAACGGAGCTGTTGGGAACAAGTATATGTTTCAATCGGGCGTGGAATGAGAGTGAAGAATAGTAAATGGTAGTTTTGTGCGGCGTGTAGAGCGGGTTGGTCTCGTTGTCGTTAACGGAACCGTAATGGAAGGCGGGTGGTGGATGCTGCTGTCTGGACGTCTGACAAGCGGCAACAGCCTCGCAATGGAACAAGAGTCGAAGCGGCCAAAAAAATGTCCAAGAGAAAAGAGATGGAAAAGAGTGTAGAGTCGAACTGGCGACGAGAAAGCCGGTCGATGGCGAAGCGGGCAAGCTGTTGCCTTGCTGGCGCGCTCCGGGTTGTCGGGGCGTGGCGACGCTACCGTGGCCTCAAGGGCTTACAAATTTTGGGAGAACGAAGCTCCGTCGTGACTCGGTCGTGGGTGGCGTCGGCTTGAGCTGTTGGCGAGCGGAGAGTGCCCAACCAACGGGCAATGCAGGAAGCAAAGGAAAAAAATCGAATAGAATGGAAGAAGAAAAGGCGACGCAAGGAGGAATCAAAAACGCCCCATGAGAGGAGAAGAGCAAGGGAACTTGTCTGAGGAGCAAAGCACTTTGAATCGTGAGGCTTGTTTTGAGGGGGACTTCGAGAACCTCAGAGGACCTCCCCCAGGGGCCCCGCATTCAGGGCCCCTGGATGTGTACCTGAAGCAGTACCTTTTTGGGCAGCCACTCGACTCGGCTTTGGCGGACAGCCTAGCTCAGACACTTTGTACTCTGTACCTGTCAAACACACCAGGTGCATCATTATAATAAGTGTGTCACGGCTATTATTAAACAACTCTGTTTAAATTAGAAAGCACTTATAGATACCTGCTGCATTTTCCTCCCCTGCCCAGCATCGCAGGCAGCCCTCAGCCCTGTCTCCCCCGCCACCGCAGCCAAGGCCGTGGGGCGCTCCCCAGCTTGCAACTCTTATCTTATCGCCACCCGCGTCCCGTCCGCCAACAACACGCGACTCATCATCGCGACAACATCATCCACCACTCCAATCCGAGTTTAGCCGCCTCCTCCAGAAACCCCGATGCTGTCATGGAGGAGCAAGAAAACCCCAGACCACAGGTCGATCCCCTCGACAAGGAAATCGCTTCATTAAAAAAGAGAGGTACGCACACCCTCCGCTGTTCCCATCTCCCGTTGGTCGCCGTCCCAAGCTAACGCAGCTTCACTTGACCACACCAGTCGCCGCCATGCAGAAACGCCTCCAAATCGAATGCTGCACCATTCTCTCCTCCACGCCGATCCAAAACATGATCCAAGAAACCTCCTTCTCCACCACCAGCAACACCACCTCGTCGCTGTTCAAATCGGCGCAGACCCCCGACGCCGCCGCCGCCTCCCTCCAGAAGCGCTCCGCCCAGCAGGCCGCCTACATGCAGCAGTGCGCCTACCGCATCGCCACGCCCGTCACCGCCTTCAAGATCCGCGACCCGGATCCGCACGCCGTCGACGCCGGCCACGTCCTCGGCCTGCGCTTCGAGGTCATGTCCCAGGGCCACTTCCTGCGGCCGTACTACGTCATGCTCAACCGGCCCTGGCCCGCGTCCCCCGCGCACCTGCGCGTCCACCGCCACACCGTGCCGCCCGCCGTCCCCGTCGGCGGCCTCGCCACCCGCTACCTGCCCCCGCCGCGCGCCGCCGACGCCGCGCAGGCGCAGACGGCCCAGGACCTCGATCGCTTCGCGCGCGCCCTGCGCCGCGAGATTATGCGCTTCCACAACCGCCTCGGCCTCACGGCGGACCTGCGAAAGACGCTCGGCTTGCAGCGCAAGGGTCGCGCGGAAGAGACGCTGACGGACAGGCACGTGGTCGAGGCCGGCATTGCGGATGTGGAAGCCAAGCACGTCAAGCTCGCCTGGGCCGATGGGCGGAGTGGACGCATCTTGATGGACCAGGATGGCAAGGTGGAAAAGTTTGTCGTGTTTGGGCCAGAGGGACGGGATTGGCGGATGACGCGGTTGGTTTTTGACACGGGGGATGGCGTGGATGACATTGCGAGGAAACTGCGGCGATATGCCGGGACTTGATGCACCAAAGGGAAATAAATGTATATAAAAAATGTATGTAAAATAGTAACGTATAGACGATTTATGACCCAGCTACGTCGAATCACTTCTGAACCCTATGGACCCGTGTACAATGACTCTAGTCCCTAGGCAAAGCCCAGCCATGGGCAAGGCGTGCTACGTGACCAACATGACACGATAAGACTTACTATAACAGGCACATATAATGTCACAACCGAAGACACGTGAAAACCACTTTCATTATTAGAGAATTTAAAGTACAGTAGAATCAAGGCCAACCCCCAAATGCCTTTTTAAAAACAAAATCGTTGCCCCAATCACGCCAGTTCCCCAAATCTCCCACTGGCAAGACCGCCCCGTAGGTTTGTAAATAAGTAAAAAAGAATGTCCACAAAGAAAAGTGCCTCCCAGGTATGAAACAGTGTAATGTGTTTCCTGCAGGTTGTGCTCTGCCAGGTATGTTGCCTCGTAAACCGAGTTGTCTTTAGATTCCTTGGTAGCCGATTTACAGAAGAGCAGCAATGGCAGCGACCGCAGCAAAGAGGCCGATCTGAACCTGCGCACCGCCGTTGACGATGACGGGGGGCTGGGTGAATGTGTTGTTGCCGCCCTGCACCGGGGGCGCGATGGAGACCGGGGGAGACGGGGCCTTGGTGGTCTGGGGAGGCAAGACGCCAGTCGACCAGATGGGGGCCTGGGTCTGGGGGGGCGGCACAGCAGTGGTGGTCTCGGGGCAGGGGGTCTCCGTCACGGCGGACTCGGTGCTGGTGAAGACGGGGACGACGGGGGTCGGGGTGGCAGTGGCGGTGTTGGTGGCCGGGCAGATGGTGGTGGTGACGGTGGTGATGGCCGTGGTGCGGGCCGGGCAGTCGGTGACGGTGGGCGCGCAGTCAATGACGGTCTTGGTGACGACGCTGGTCGCCGTCGACGTGGTCCAGGTGTGGTGGCCAAACTGGCACTCGTCGCACGGGTGCACGTAGTGCCAGTCCTCGTCGGTGGCGTCGCAGCCGTCCATGTCGACGTCGGGGTGCGACGGGTGCCAGGTGTTGGTGCGGTCCGCGGGCGGCGGGTACTTGGGGCCGAGCGAGGCCGAAATCTCGATGCCGGCCGGCAGCTTGATCTTGGCGTCGAGCCCGGTGTTGCCGAGGAGGCCGTCGGTGCTAGGCACCGCGCCGTTGGCGCCGCCGAGGAGGTTGTCCGTGTTGGGCACGCCGGCGTTGTTGCCGAGGAGGCCGTCGACGAGGCCCGGGTGGGCGATGACGACGGAGACGAGGGCGGCGGCGACAGCAAAGGACTTCATCTTGATTGGATTTAGGAGGGTGTGAGGAGTTTGGAAAGGGCTTGAAGAAAAGGGTATGAAGCGAGCGTGTAGAACTAGAAAAGAGTGTATGGGTGAGAGTTCTGAGTATTCAAGCCAAAGTCCTTGTTGTTGTTGAGAGCGAGAGTGAGTCGGGGGAGATGGCGGGATGAGAGACGGCTTAAATAACTGATCTGCTGAGATTCAAACAAACTAGGAAAGTCTTTCTGGATCCCTTGGACCTCCCCTATCGCCTGCCGCGTCCGTCTCTCCCTCTGTCCCTCGCAGCTGCATATCAAGTTACAATGCCGCTCGCCCCCTCGACGGGGTATAGCTCTGATTCATGGGGAAATGAGGAACAGAAACAAGACATGGCAGATGCAAACAGGCACCCTTTGTCATTACCCAACTCCACTTGGTTCCCTTTGACATTGTTGCTTCGGCCTTTTCAGGGTTGGGCGAGGTCCTCCAGTCTGCCCCAGCTTTTTACACAATGTCTTGCCAATCCTAGGCATCGGCCAAGGGCTCCATCGAAGTACATAGAGGGCCCCGGCGCAAATGCCGCCCGTTTTGCCAGGGCCGTTGTCCGGCATATCGGATCGCGCCACCCTGCCAGGAAGTTCAACTGGGACCTGCGTTAGTAGCGGCATTATGCACACCTGCGCTGAGCAAAAAGCATCGTTGACCGCGTGTTCATGTTGCGTGTTGCGTGTTGCACAGTATACTCGTATAGGGAAGTGCCGATCCCTCCCTGTCTGGACTTGTCCCCTGTCATGCCATCTCCGCACCCAACTCGTGTAAGTGAAGTGGGAAAGCAAAGTAGTTATTTTTCAGAGGACTTTTCTTTTGCCTTTGGCGAAGAAATCGGCTTGCTTCTTCTCTCGCTCCCCTCGTCTTTGATAACAACATCACCATTATTCATTATTATGCCAGCTTTGACTTGCCCGTACTTCGTAGTACGCCGTTACCGCCTTTGAAGGGGGGCAAGTTAATATGTCTCAGGCACCAATTTCCAGCTTCGAGACGGAACAAGAACAAGCTCCGACCCGTGAGCAGGGTTGCCGCACCGTATTGTTCCCACACTGTGTCTCGAACCCCCTTTGGAAAAACACGAGAAATCGGTCAACTGCCAGAAAATCTTGCCTGATCGTGGTCGAAAAAGCAACTACCGACAGGGGCTTCCGCACGCCAATACACAACTAGCGGCTGGCTCCAAGACAAGGGCAGCAGCGCCGCAACAACAAACATGTAAAAAGAAACGTGCCCGAGTTAATTTGTACTTCTTCTCTTCTAGACGACCGCTCATGTCTCGTCTAGCTGTCAAGACCGCCGTGAGGCTGTGCTTCCTTCTGCGCTTTTGCCCTGCGTTGTTTCAACGCCACTCGAGAGAATCCTCCCTCAACCGCAGTCAATGCAACTCCTGTTGTTTGTCTGTTCTTCTGTTCATTGTTGTGCTGTTGCCGTCCGAGTAAAAGATCCGGCATGACTCGTGACTGTCACAGTCTCGAAAGCAAGCAGATATCTCCGAGATGGACAAAGACTTGTAACCGCGATGTACTGGTAGGAGAACGAGATTACCCATCTCTGTATTTTACTTCTCATGAGCTGCTGGGCAATATGAAAAAGCCACCACACCCTTTTACCAGTCCAAAGCCTTGTTCGTTTTTTGCACGAGACCCGATCTGGCTTGCTCATCTGAGATTACTTCCACTCGCGGGCCCGCCTCATCGCGCAAGATATCGAGCTGGATATGCCACCGCTGCACCTGCTCGTCAACGATGGCCGTCCACTTGCTGATCAAGGGATGTGCCTCCGCCACGTCGGAAAACAGCACCTCCCCTCCCGTATCTTGGGGGTTGTTGACTGGATACGTCCAGTTTCCGTCGGGTGCCCAGTAGTCGGCGCTAAAAATATGCCTGGTGCTGAGCTCCTCGCGGGCCTGACCGAGGAGCCGCGCCGCGTCCGCCGATTCCTCGCTGCCGAGGGGCTCCAGCGCGTTGCTGATGCCCTCGACGAGGCCGATGAGATGCCCGGCCCTTTGACCAATCGTGGCACCCAAGCTGAAGCCCTCGTCAAAGCCCGGCTGTATGCTGGCCTCCTTCGCCACCGACACACCCTCCCTATAGCCTGATGTGCTGTGCTCTGCCTGCAAACGACTCATGTCCGTCGGGTGTGTGGACTCGGGTACCCGCGACACGACGTTGGGCGCATCGTCGTCGCCGGCGTCGTCCGCGCCAAAGACATCGTCTAGAGGGTCCGAGGGAGCAGCCACAAGGGCGTCCGGGCCGATCTCGTCAGCCTGATGTCGCCCCTGCGAGAAGTGGGAATCCTCCGCGGAGAGATCTCTCGCCTGCTGGTGCATTTTTATTAACGCCGTTCCCTGGCCCACCGATCTATGACAAGGCGCAAGGAGATGCAAATAAGTAAGGTGGTTAAAAAAAATCTGGAGATACTGCTTCTGTGGATGCGGGCTTGGTCCGTACAGTAAGAATAGCCTCACATCTGTAGCTGTCTCGCACTGTGAAATATGCCGTTTGCGGCGACGCTTCACAGTGCGCAGAACCCTCGGTAGTATTGTATTCTTTTTTCTTGTCATTCCCTTGATATTTATCGTTCTTTATCTACAATTATGCTCACTTTTCATTTTGTTTATGATTACTTTTTTTTTTCCGTCTCTTACCTCTATCATTTTGATTCATAACTAGGTACCATGCCGAGCTAGACTAATACATCCCTGCATCACAATCCCTCCCTCGATTCTGCTTTCTTTTTGCTTATTAGACACTCTATGTAATACATTATAGTAAACACCCGAACGGATCTACTCCAAGACATACCCATTACCTCGCCAAGCGGGCTCCATGCCTGCCTCAGGTCGATCTTTGCGAACCAGGCAGCCGAGCCAATGACTTGCTCAATTGTGAGTATTTCAGAGTACAGACAAGACGCATAGTCTTTCAAACACCATGTAGAGTCTAAAACTACAGTGCATATCAGAGTTTGTACCGTATTGACTATTGACGAAGATAGAACGATGATTGTCCTGTACTTGCCTATTTTCCGAACTATAGCAGGAAATCGGCGAGGTCGTTGCCGCGTGTAATTACGCCGCGCATAACACCGTCGTTTTAATTATTTGGAATGAAAGAACCTTGCCCATCATTGCGAATGACAGGGTAGAGTTCATCGCTTCCATACAGTCTATTTTGGCCGACTAAGTTATACCAGTGCCTACCGAATTGTTGTTGCGAGATTGTGAGCTAAATTACCTGGATTGCGACCGCCCAGGTGCCTCTTCCAAGCCAGCCAATCCCATTTGGGAAGCGAAATCCGTCATCATATTACCCTATAGCTGGGCACAACAAGGTGAACGGATAGCGATGAAGACAATGGACACACTACCTTGCCCTAGTTTGCCGAGCGTGGCCATCATTATTAGAGCTAGAGCTGTGCGAAAGCTTGTTTATTTCAAAAACAGGAAAAGGATGGCGTATGAACAATTGGGTTGGAATATTACTAGTTGTACTAGCTACATTCCCCAGGACCACCGACCAAAAACAAAGGATGAACCTGCACCCTTCACATGTAATCACGCCAACTAAATATCACGCTGTATTAGAAGGCTCTTCATGTCAACCCAACGACAGGCAATCCTCATCCACTTTATACATAAAGTACCGCCGTGTCGTCAGATGGTATGAGTTCTACTGGCAAGAAGACCACCACTCACTCGACTTCTTGCAAGTAAATGGGGCCTGGCACCCGGTCGGTCCATTGTATCCTTGCCCGCCGCACTACGCACTGTTAGCATCGAACTCGCTATAAATTCATTGACCAAAAAAAGCTTACCTGACCCCATTGAGGCACTGTGCCAGTTGGGGACGAACCCGGCGGCGAAGAGCTGG